TGATGTAGCAAGAGAGAGTGGTTGATGGTGGTGATGTAGCAAGGGAGAGTGGTTGATGGTGGTGATGTAGCAAGAGAGGGTGGTTGTTGGTGGTGATGTAGCAAGAGAGAGTGGATGATGGTAGTGATGTAGCAAGGGAGAGTGGTTGTTGGTGGTGATGTAGCAAGAGAGGGTGGTTAATGGTGGTGATGTAGCAAGAGAGGGTGGTTGTTGGTGGTGATGTAGCAAGGGAGAGTGGTTGATGGTGGTGATGTAGCAAGGGAGAGTGGTTGATAGTGGTGATGTATAAAGGGAGAGTGGTTGATGGTGGTGATGTAGCAAGAGAGTGTGGTTGTTGGTGGTGATGTAGCAAGAGAGAGTGGTTGATGGTAGTGATGTAGCAAGGGAGAGTGGTTGATGGTGGTGATGTAGCAAGGGAGAATGGTTGATGGTGGTGATGTAGCAAGAGAGAGTGGTTGATGGTGGTGATGTAGCAAGGGAGGGTGGTTGATGGTGGTGATGTAGCAGAGAGAGTGGTTGATGGTGGTGATGTAGCAAGGGAGAGTGGTTGATGGTGGTGATGTAGCAAGAGAGAGTGGTTGATGGTGGTGATGTAGCAAGGGATTGTGGTTGATGGTGGTGATGTAGCAAGGGAGAATGGTTGATGGTGGTGATGTAGCAAGAGAGAGTGGTTGATGGTGGTGATGTAGCAAGGGAGGGTGGTTGATGGTGGTGATGTAGCAAGGGAGAGTGGTTGATGGTGGTGATGTAGCAAGGGAGGGTGGTTGATGATGGTGATGTTGCAAGGGAGAGTGGTTGATGGTGGTGATGTAGCAAGGGAGAGTGGTTGATGGTGGTGATGTAGCAAGGGAGAGTGGTTGATGGTGGTGATGTAGCAAGAGAGAGTGGTTGATGGTGGTGATGTAGCAAGAGAGTGGTTGATGGTGGTGATGTAGCAAGAGAGAGTGATTGATGGTGGTGATGTAGCAAGGGAGAGTGGTTGATGGTGGTGATGTAGCAAGAGAGAGTGGTTGATGGTGGTGATGTAGCAAGAGAGAGTGGTTGATGGTGGTGATGTAGCAAGAGAGGGTGGTTGATGGTGCTGATGTAGCAAGAGAGAGTGGTTGATGGTGGTGATGTAGCAAGGGAGAGTGGTTGATGGTGGTGATGTAGCAAGGGAGAATGGTTGATGGTGGTGATGTAGCAAGAGAGAGTGGTTGATGGTGGTGATGTAGCAAGGGAGGGTGGTTGATGGTGGTGATGTAGCAAGGGAGAGTGGTTGATGGTGGTGATGTAGCAAGGGAGGGTGGTTGATGATGGTGATGTTGCAAGGGAGAGTGGTTAATGGTGGTGATGTAGCAAGAGAGAGAGTGGTTGATGGTGGTGATGTAGCAAGAGAGAGTGGTTGATGGTGGTGATGTAGCAAGAGAGAGTGGTTGATGGTGGTAATGTAGCAAGGGAGAGTGGTTGATGGTGGTGATGTAGCAAGGGAGAGTGGTTGATGGTGGTGATGTAGCAAGGGAGAGTGGTTGATGGTGGTGATGTAACAAGGGAGAGTGGTTGATGGTGGTGATGTAGCAAGAGAGAGTGGTTGATGGTGGTGATGTAGCAAGGGAGAGTGGTTGATGGTGGTGATGTAGCAAGAGAGAGTGGTTGATGGTGGTGATGTAGCAAGGGAGGGTGGTTGATGGTGGTGATGTATCAAGAGAGATTGGTTGATGGTGGTGATGTAGCAAGGGAGGGTGGTTGATGGTGGTGATGTAGCAATAGAGAGTTGTTGATGGTGATGATGTAGCAAGAGAGGGTGGTTAATGGTGGTGATGTAGCAAGAGAGAGTGGTTGATGGTGGTGATGTAGCAAGGGAGAGTGGTTGATGGTGGTGATGTAGCAAGAGAGAGTGGTTGATGGTGGTGATGTAGCAAGAGAGAGTGGTTGATGGTGGTGATGTAGCAAAGGAGAGTGGTTGATGGTGGTGATGCAGCAAGAGAGAGGGGTTGATGGTGGTGATGTAGCAAGGGAGAGTGGTTGATGGTGGTGATGTAGCAAGGGAGAGTGGTTGATGGTGGTGATGTAGCAAGGGAGAGTGGTTGATGGTGGTGATGTAGCAAGAGAGGGTGGTTGATGGTGGTGATGTAGCAAGGGAGGGTGGTTGATGGTGGTGATGTAGCAAGGGAGAGTGGTTGATGGTGGTGATGTAGCAAGGGAGAGTGGTTGATGGTGGTGATGTAGCAAGGGAGGGTGGTTGATGGTGGTGATGTAGCAAGGGAGAGTGGTTGATGGTGGTGATGTAGCAAGAGAGAGTGGTTTATGGTGGTGATGTAGCAAGGGAGAGTGGTTGATGGTGGTGATGTAGCAAGGGAGAATGGTTGATGGTGGTGGTGTAGCAAGAGAGAGTGGTTGATGGTGGTGATGTAGCAAGGGAGGGTGGTTGATGGTGGTGATGTAGCAAGGGAGAGTGGTTGATGGTGGTGATGTAGCAAGAGAGAGAGTGGTTGATGGTGGTGATGTAGCAAGAGAGAGTGGTTGATGGTGGTGATGTAGCAAGGGAGAGTGGTTGATGGTGGTGATGTAGCAAGAGAGAGTGGTTGATGGTGGTGATGTAGCAAGGGAGGGTGGTTGATGGTGGTGATGTAGCAAGGGAGGGTGGTTGATGGTGGTGATGTAGCAAGAGAGAGTGGTTGATGGTGGTGATGTAGCAAGGGAGGGTGGTTGATGGTGGTGATGTAGCAAGAGAGAGTGGTTGATGGTGGTGATGTAGCAAGAGAGAGTGGTTGATGGTGGTGATGTAGCAAGAGAGAGTGGTTGATGGTGGTGATGTAGCAAGAGAGTGGTTGATGGTGGTGATGTAGCAAGAGAGAGTGATTGATGGTGGTGATGTAGCAAGGGAGAGTGGTTGATGGTGGTGATGTAGCAAGAGAGAGTGGTTGATGGTGGTGATGTAGCAAGAGAGAGTGGTTGATGGTGGTGATGTAGCAAGAGAGGGTGGTTGATGGTGCTGATGTAGCAAGAGAGAGTGGTTGATGGTGGTGATGTAGCAAGGGAGAGTGGTTGATGGTGGTGATGTAGCAAGGGAGAATGGTTGATGGTGGTGATGTAGCAAGAGAGAGTGGTTGATGGTGGTGATGTAGCAAGGGAGGGTGGTTGATGGTGGTGATGTAGCAAGGGAGAGTGGTTGATGGTGGTAATGTAGCAAGGGAGAGTGGTTGATGGTGGTGATGTAGCAAGGGAGAATGGTTGATGGTGGTGGTGTAGCAAGGGAGAGTGGTTGATGGTGGTGATGTAACAAGGGAGAGTGGTTGATGGTGGTGATGTAGCAAGAGAGAGTGGTTGATGGTGGTGATGTAGCAAGGGAGAGTGGTTGATGGTGGTGATGTAGCAAGAGAGAATGGTTGATGGTGGTGATGTAGCAAGGGAGGGTGGTTGATGGTGGTGATGTATCAAGAGAGATTGGTTGATGGTGGTGATGTAGCAAGGGAGGGTGGTTGATGGTGGTGATGTAGCAATAGAGAGTTGTTGATGGTGGTGATGTAGCAAGAGAGGGTGGTTAATGGTGGTGATGTAGCAAGAGAGAGTGGTTGATGGTGGTGATGTAGCAAGGGAGAGTGGTTGATGGTGGTGATGTAGCAAGAGAGAGTGGTTGATGGTGGTGATGTAGCAAGAGAGAGTGGTTGATGGTGGTGATGTAGCAAAGGAGAGTGGTTGATGGTGGTGATGCAGCAAGAGAGAGGGGTTGATGGTGGTGATGTAGCAAGGGAGAGTGGTTGATGGTGGTGATGTAGCAAGGGAGAGTGGTTGATGGTGGTGATGTAGCAAGGGAGAGTGGTTGATGGTGGTGATGTAGCAAGAGAGGGTGGTTGATGGTGGTGATGTAGCAAGGGAGGGTGGTTGATGGTGGTGATGTAGCAAGGGAGAGTGGTTGATGGTGGTGATGTAGCAAGGGAGAGTGGTTGATGGTGGTGATGTAGCAAGGGAGGGTGGTTGATGGTGGTGATGTAGCAAGGGAGAGTGGTTGATGGTGGTGATGTAGCAAGAGAGAGTGGTTTATGGTGGTGATGTAGCAAGGGAGAGTGGTTGATGGTGGTGATGTAGCAAGGGAGAATGGTTGATGGTGGTGATGTAGCAAGAGAGAGTGGTTGATGGTGGTGATGTAGCAAGGGAGGGTGGTTGATGGTGGTGATGTAGCAAGGGAGAGTGGTTGATGGTGGTGATGTAGCAAGAGAGAGTGGTTGATGGTGGTGATGTAGCAAGAGAGAGTGGTTGATGGTGGTGATGTAGCAAGGGAGAGTGGTTGATGGTGGTGATGTAGCAAGAGAGAGTGGTTGATGGTGGTGATGTAGCAAGGGAGGGTGGTTGATGGTGGTGATGTAGCAAGGGAGGGTGGTTGATGGTGGTGATGTAGCAAGAGAGAGTGGTTGATGGTGGTGATGTAGCAAGGGAGGGTGGTTGATGGTGGTGATGTTGGTGGGTGGGGGGGTGTAGCGGTCAACGCTACGAACCTGGCCACCCGAGTTCAATTCCCATCCCTGTCAACCCCTTATCAGTAGTGCCCTTACCTTATTACAGACCAATTCAGACCTTATTGGTCACCCCCGTGACCCTTATAAATCTCCATGTTCGTCCTACAAAGTCCCATCACAAGGGAGAAACACACAAAAAAACAAATAGTCGCCTTTTCTTGAGGTTTGTGTTTTCTCGGAATTGAAGCATGGATCTGAAAAACTAAAATTTCCCTGCACAAGAAGAGGGGGCGAACCGAATGGATTGAGAGCTGTGGATTCTCGCTCACGGCCAACACCGCCGGACGATCATTTGAAACCGGGGGGGGGGAGAGACAAAGGCGGCCGGGCGTGGCGTCGGCCAACCCCCCCTCCCCCCACAACACAGACAGGTCTCTTTAAAGGGCTTCTAATGCAGAGGGATAATCTTTGGTGGATGTGGGAAATAGTGAGAGAGTGAAGTGCCATGGGGGAGTGGGGAAGGAGGGCGCCTTCGAAGCCATCATCCCCCCTTAAATGGGTCCATCCGCTCTCTCCTTTGTTCGGAAATTCCCACTGCCAACCACCACCACCACTCCTCCTCCACCCCGGTGCCTTTATTAACAAGAACTCCGCACGCATGAAGCCTCGTCGGGATTCTACTACAGCCCCGTTACTGCAGTGTGTGTTGTTGGTGTGTTGTTGTGATGTTGTTAATGTAGCGACAACTTCAAAGAGAGAGAGGGGGTGAACACACTGTGTGAGTTGTTGTAGGAGGGGGTTAACACACTGTGTGAGTTGTAGGAGGAGAAGGAGGTTAACACACTGTGTGAGTTGTAGGAGGAGGTTAACACACTGTGTGAGTTGTTGTAGGAGGGGGTTAACACATTGTGTGAGTTGTTGTAGGAGTAGGAGGGGGTTAACACATTGTGTGAGTTGTTGTAGGAGTAGGAGGGGGTTAACACACTGTGTGAGTTGTTGTAGGAGTAGGAGGAGGTTAACACACTGTGTGAGTTGTAGGAGTAGGAGGTTAACACACTGTGAGTTGTTGTAGGAGGAGGTTAACACACTGTGTGAGTTGTTGTAGGAGGGGGTTAACACACTGTGCGAGTTGTTGTAGGAAGGGGTTAACACACTGTGTGAGTTGTAGGAGGGTTTAACACACTGTGAGTTGTAGGAGGAGGTTAACACACTGTGTGAGTTGTTGTAGGAGGGGGTTAACACACTGTGCGAGTTGTTGTAGGAAGGGGTTAACACACTGTGTGAGTTGTTGTAGGAGGGGGTTAACACACTGTGTGAGTTGTTGTAGGAGGGGGTTAACACACTGTGTGAGTTGTTGTAGGAGGGGGTTAACACACTGTGTGAGTTGTTGTAGGAGGGGTTTAACACACTGTGAGTTGTAGGAGGGTTTAACACACTGTGAGTTGTTGTAGGAGGAGGTTAACACACTGTGTGAGTTGTTGTAGGAAGGGGTTAACACACTGTGAGTTGTAGGAGGGGGTTAACACACTGTGTGAGTTGTTGGAGGAAGGGTTTAACACACTGTGTGAGTTGTTGTAGGAGGGGGTTAACACACTGTGTGAGTTGTTGGAGGAAGGGTTTAACACACTGTGTGAGTTGTAGGAGGGGGTTAACACACTGTGTGAGTTGTAGGAAGGGGTTAACACACTGTGTGAGTTGTTGTAGGAGGGGTTTAACACACTGAGTTGTAGGAGGGTTTAACACACTGTGTGAGTTGTAGGAGGAGGTTAACACACTGTGTGAGTTGTAGGAGGGGGTTAACACACTGTGTGAGTTGTTGTAGGAGGGGGTTAACACACTGTGTGTGAGTTGTAGGAGGGGGTTAACACACTGTGTGAGTTGTTGTTGGTGGCACGCTGCGCTATGGAGTTGACCGTGCCAGAAGAGGACAGGCTACAGCCCACGCCGGTGAGTATCCATACTTCACCACCCTTTACTCTATTACATTAATTACATTACATCCTGCATGCTGTTGTTGTGTGTGGGGGGTGGAGAGGTTTAAACACTCGCCGCTGGCGTTGGCCGCGAGTGGGAATCGAACTCGGGGGGTGATCGCCGGCGGGCCCCCCCTAGGTCGACTCGGCCTCAAACATCGCCACTGGGGAGACGAAGGCGGCCGGGCGTGGTGGTGGTTGTTGTTGACCACCACCCTCCTCTTCGTGTGCCCACAGTGCCCGGCCTCTATAGGCGCCAGCCCCAGTCTGTTTAGCCTACACGTGTGTGTGTGTGGTCTTTGTGTCTTGTCGATACTTCCTAGAGGGACGCGGCATTACACCACAACAACAACATTTAAATGTCGTGGATGTTACTCTCCTTGGTAACTCATTGGCGCGTTGTGGTTGTTGTTGTTGTTTACGTGAGGAAACCTTCACCGGCTTTGTCGGGTGGTGGAGGGATACGACGACACGTCTATACTAACGCGATCTAACTAACACACAAAAAACAACAACCCCCCACCCTTTATTAAGAATAATTTTAGTGCGCGGAAGCTTAAACGTTGTTAAACGGAACATTTTACACATCGTTTTTATTTAGCGGCGATCATAGGCCAATGCTGACCGGGGCCCCCAATCATAACGGGGAGATGTAGCCGTGCAATTATCTCGACGTGTTAGACGAAGGCCGTGGATTCCTTCTCGTTTGACATCGTCCAGCGGTGGATCGATCACGGCTGTTGACGTGATCGATCTACGCAAACCGCTGGTCACCGTTCGCTTGCGTAAATGTGCCTATACTGTACGCATCGCGTAGACTGCACGTGTTTGCGTATTAGCGTAGCATACGTGGCACGTGAATTGTACATGCACAGTCTACGCAAGTATACGATGTGCATACTGCATCGCTGTCGCAGCCCATGCGGTTCTTGTGCAGGGAAATTTGAGTTTTCAGGTCCATTCGTGCGGCCAGCCGTGTGCGAAATGTTGCTTATCTGCGAGTGTTTCTCCCCTTGTGATGGGACTTTGTAGGATGAACGTTGAGATTTATAAGGGGCAATGGGTGACCAATACGGTCTGAATTGGTCTGTAATAAGGTATGGCACTGATAAAGGGTTGATCGGTAATGGTACTGTACTGTTTAAACTGTATACGCAACTAGTTAACACTGTACACGTGTTTACAGTACGCGTGCGTGTGTACAGTGCGGCACAGTTACACGTGTGCAGTATACAGTATTCCACGTGCGTGCTGTACTTCGTACACAGTGCCCCGTGTTTGCAGTACGGTGCGCTACGAACCCCATCACGGCCACCAACGCCAGTGACGATTATCTGAACCGGTCCTGGGGGCCTCCCACCATCTCCTAGGTCGACTCGGCCTCAAATGAGTGCCTGGTGAGATGTATGAGCATCGCCACTTAGGGAGAGACAAAGGTGGCCGGGCGTAGTGGTGACCACCGCCTCTCTGGTAGCGGAGGAGAGATGTCGGCTAGCAGTAGATCTGAGTTGAGTAAGCGATTTGAACTCAACTATTTTCTTTATTTTATTAGGGAAGACCCGCTGAGCTGAGTAGCTCTATTTCAGAAGCGACCTGGCCACAAATGACAGCTCGCTCAAGTGGCTTATCACGTGAAAATGTATAGCGGGCCAAATACTCGAAACGCGTGATTTTGATTCTAAATGTGGAGGGGAAAACTAGAGGGCCCGAAGTAAAACCATCCACACAATCACGGAGAGAGAGAGACAGAGCCACTCACACTCCAAATATACAGCAGCAGGCGCCGGGGTCGGGATGGAACCCACGACCTCCTGTACACCAGGCGAGGCACATACCATCTCCTAGCCACCGTGGCGAGTAGCAAGGGAGATTGCCCTTGCAATAAGGTAAATGAGAAGTTGTCCTGGCTAATGACAGTAATGAATGGCGAAGAGGAGGCATCTGCCCCATATGTTATTGGGAGTCAATCGTAGAGAAGTGAATGCGCTGACATATCAAGTGTGGTGGGTTAGGGTACAAGCTGTGTGTGTGTGTAACTTAAAATGACAATAACTAAACACGATATCAGTATGCAAATAAGCCACGCTTCGATGCTTGTGCATGCAAGTTATTGAATAATCCCCACTACTCATCCAGCAGTGGATTGACAAAAGGGCTGTCTATTAATACACCTGTTGAGGACATTACAGGCCTCTTGCGAGAATTCTATAAATACAATCTATTGTAAGCCAGCATTATATTGTGTACAATAAGTACAGAGTGCATCTTGTACCGTGCAATCATGAAATACAAGCAAGTGTTTTATTAATACTAGAGTTAGATACTGTAGTAGGTATATATAGATTTTTATTTTAACCACTTCTCAGACTCAAATTACACATGGGTTTATTTATAGAACAAATACAGTATACGTGAAAATGATTGGGGGGTGATAAATATCCTTTATTTGCCCAGGAAAACGTCAGTCTCAGAACTTTTAAAACAGGTTTTTTGCAAACAATGGAATGTTTTGGGTTTCAATGTGGGAGGAAACTGGAAAGTACTTGGAGAATGCTCAGCCATGCAATGGGATAACGTTTAAAGTAGCAAAAAAACCCAGCTTTGTTCTGCAGTGGTCAATGGAAGATTGGACCCCGCCATATGAATGTGCCACGGTGGCAAAATGTTAACCCCCTCGCCTGGTATACAAGGGGTCGTGGGTTCGATCCCGACCCTGACGCCTGTTGTATTTTTGGAGTTTGCATGTCCTCCCCTTGGTCGCGTGAAATATTCTCCCCGTGCTTGGGTTTGTCCCTCCACATTTAGAAACATGGGTTTAGAATTTTGGCCGCTATATATTTCCACGTGATGACAAGCCACTTCGTTGAGCTGTCTGTCATTTGTGGCCAGGTCGCTTCTGAAAAATAGCTATACATCTCAGTAGGACTTGCCTGGTAAAAAAACATTTTTTGTGTTTTTTAGTAACTTTAACCAAATGCGATCCCAGTGCTCATTCAAATAAGAGGACAATTTCATTTTGCAAATGTCCAGTTTGAAATTTTCTTTTTTTTAAACAAACACATGCTTACATAAATAAATAAGAACTTTGGAAACTCACATGGATAAATAAAACAGTACTGTATTTTAAAATAGCACACACTATCAATATGTATATTTACACAGCCTTCATTCGTTTTTGATGATGAATTCGCTGGGTTGAAAGACATCGATTGGCATTACTCGGAAAGATATTAGGTAAGGTTTGTGTTTTTACCCGACTGCTTGCCCATGTTTTATGAAACAACTGTCGGCGTAACTTTAAATCATTTTCGGTGGGTGCTACAGCTCACTTTCAATACAATAATTAAAATGTTAAGCCCTGATTAAGAATTATCCACACCATGTCAGTCGTGGGGATTGTTTGACCATACTTCTCCATGCCGGTATGTGTCAGTTCACTTTAACACGTAGGCTTTTGCGACCAATTTGATCCATCATGGTTTTTTGGGTTAGATCGCAGGTTAACAACCCAAAAAAAACCTTTATTGTGGGTTGATTGGTGAAAGGGGTTAGGGGGTGCTGTGGTGCCCACTGGTGTAAGCCGTGACCGGGATGAGTGTTTTTCACCCCTAATTCTGATTAATGGAACAGACAACGGGTGTTTAAGAAGTGGGGTTTTATATCCATAACTGCGATGACATTTTTGAAAGCCATAGACTGATACAAGTCAATTTACTGACACGTTTGATGTTTGACGATGAGGAGGGATGGCACAGTGGTTATTGCCCTGCGCAATGAACATCACTTCCCGAGTTCAATTCCCGGCTATGGTAAATGCCCATGTTGGGTGATATCTAAAACTCATCCTGACCCATCCTCCGAGGAAAATAAAAATAGTGTAGCTTATTTAGTTTTTGTGATTTGCTTACCTTTCCTATACTTTGCACCATGATAGAGCACAGTCGGGCAATGCATATGACTTACACAGCTTGAGGAGGCCTTGATACAAAGGTGGGTTGACAAAGGGCTGTAAATAATCATACCAAATTGGTCTGCTGCTGAACCCTGAAATGTCAAAAAATGTGATGCACTTCTGAATTTAATTTAGGATACAATTTTCCGTTCTTGCGTATGGCAATATGTTCAGGAGTGAGATGCCAATATCGAGGTCTGCTGCTCCACGCGAGAGGGCTTCATGAGAGAGTTTGTGTAGTTTCGCTATTGCTCTTTTGAAGCAGCACCAGACCGCAGTGGTTCACTGAAGAATTTCACGGAGACGTGAAAATAAATATTGTTATTTCATGTAAGTGGAATGATGCCTCCAATTTCTATTTCGAACTCGGTGAATGCTTTAGAAAAGTTGTTTTCTCAGTGAAGATAAATGCAGTGAAGTACAGGCCCATGTGATTGTCAGCCCATTCCCTTTGTCACCAGATATTGAGAGGCTCGTGGCAATTTGAACCCCTCTTGGTGACTCATTCGCCCAATGTAGTGACTCAGCATAATGACTCATCCCTCTCATTCCCCTCAAGCCTTCCGCTCCATCAAAAAGCTCATTGACGCTGCCCTTACAACAGCCTATGTCTACTGTAGTAGGTTCATGGTTTGGCAGTGGATTTTATTCAGAGCAGATGGCAGCCGCAACAATGGATGGATTATGCAGGAATTTCAGATGGTACGTTACAGTGTGGTGCCTTATAACGGTCCAGGACAATTGAAAAATAGTAAATGAAGGGTTTAAAATAACTTGCCATTTCATTGTGCATAATCCAGAATTCCCTTGAATTCTTATTTAATCTCGGCGTTCCCGACTAATTTACCGAACTTTGCCAATCCATTGTGGTCTCTCGATAACTGTGGCAGTCGTGGGTTGCGTTTGACCATACTTCACCACGCTAGCCATCGTGGGTTGGGGAAGGGCCGGCAAAATCAAAAAGGTTTTTTGTCTTAAGATTATGGGTTTAGCGCCGTTGGCTACGTACAGTGCTAAATACATGTACATGCTGTGCATGCATTTCATCTGCACGGCTTGTGTGAACGAAGGCAGCGTTGTGCTGCTTATGTAACTGTGGAGTTCTATAAATATAGAGCAGAGGGAGAGGCTGTTTCACAAAAAGCTAAACTGGGTCACAACCTGCAACGGGCAACATGTGGCACCGGGAAGCGGATCTGTTTTTTTTGTTTGTTGCAGATTTGGCAATATGCACTCTTTGAGAAGCACATGACAAAGTTTTGGATTGCACGTGTTCCTTATAAAAGTAATATTGATAACTAAGGGTTTTTTTCTGGGATTTTACTATTGGCCGTGGGTACTTTCCCACAGAAACATTTGCAGGATATTGCTCTGGTCTGAAGCAATGGCTCGTCCACAGCTCATTTATATAAAGTAAACATTTCGTAACTGGGAGAGAACGCTATTTAAGTTTACGACATGCTTGAGATGTTTTTAAATGTTACACCATACTATTAGAACACATCCTGTAGTCATATATGTTGGGATTTTCTCAAGTTTACCCCCGTTTTTAAAGGTTCTTAGAGTTAAATTATCCCAAGTGCAAGTTTACGTTATCACATAAACAAATTCACAAGCCAGTCTATTTAGGGAGCCTCCACTTTAAGAGATTTGACTGTCAAAAGTAATGTGTGCAGTAGAATGTACAAACGGATGAATGCATTATTAGGTGCTCATTATTAGGTGTTCGTACTGCCACGTCCTACATAATGACGCAAGCTGCACTAGTACTCTGCATATCATCACATTTTTATTTTAAGAACGATAGAAATGGTTTTCTGAAAGTATTTGGTTACTAAGGTTGCCAAAAAAACCCACACATGCACACCCTTACTCGTGAATGCAGAGGCATTGTAAGAGATGATTAACCTTTGAAAGGTTAGAGGGTTAATTGTGAACCCATTTTTGACTGGTCTAATTAATCGGCTCAGGTTTCCTTATCTCTCAGAATGTGTTTTTTCGGGTCGTGCACATCGTGTTGTTCGGCATGGTGTCCCACTGAACAAACTGAAAACTAAACAATTTGTTTTATTTTACCAGGTAAGGTCCACTGAACTATATATCTCTTTTTTCAGAAGCAACCTGGCCACAAATTATAGCTTAGCGAAGTGGCTAATCATGTGGACATTTCTAGCAGCCAAAAAAAAATCTACGCGACCACAGGGAGAGACACGCAATCTCCACATATACAGCATGCCAGGGTCAGGATTGAAAGCATGATCTCCTGTATACCAGGTGAGGTAGTTTACATCTCGCCACCGTGGCACCCTGAATAAGCTGCGAGCGAAAAATTGGACGTGCCAAATAACACGCAATGCAACCCAAAAGCACAATGAAGAGCTGACCGCGCACTCAGGAAAACTCACATCCTGAATTATGCTTGAGCAAGAGTTGTGTTGTTTTACATGATGGCATAGCCTCTGAGACCCAATTGAAGTGTTTTCAAAATGTACCATGTTTGATGACCAGGAACTAGCAGGGTTACAATTTGCTCAATTGTGTCTCTTCGTCACAATACAAAAATCAGTACTTTTTTTTCCTCCGTTTTATTGGTTCACTTATATTGCCCATACTTTCACTTGCTCCTTTGTATTGTCTCGAGCTTATTTGGTCTCGTTGGTCAAGTCGCGTTCAATCCATTTTCCTAATTGCAGCAAAAGGTAATTTTCATAGGTCACAGATAACCGAGTCTCACAGGCACTACCAAAAACAGCAACTTATTTCGGACAAAATGTGATAAAGGCACCTTTGTGTCCAATTCGCGGTGCCGAGATGTTAACTACCTCGCCTGGTGTACAGGCGGTCGTGGGGTCGATCCCGACCCTGACGCCCTGTTGTATATTTGGAGTTTGCATGTTCTCCCCGTGGTCACGTGGATTTCTCTCCGGGGCCTCCGGATTTCCCCCTCCACATTTAGAATCAACATGCGTTTAGAGTATTTGGCTGCTTGAAATTTCCACATGATTAACCACTTCGTTGAGCTATCATTTGTGTCCGGGTCACTTCTGAAAAAGAGTTATATAGCTCAGTGGGACCTTACCTGATAAAACAAAAAGTAGTTTAAAATATATAGTTTAGTTTGTCTTTAGGTGTATGGACTCTTGAGTTTGGGCCCAAGTTAAATATTACCTCACCTTGATAACATGTGCCCTGGATGTCAGTATTTTTTTGTGACTAACAATGGAGCAATTTTATTTAGTAGCCCCACCTCCCTCCACTCAGCAGTATAAATGGGTACGACCACGGATGATCAGGAGGTCGTGTGAGTGGTGGGATAAAGCGTGGGTACTCCCAACTCTTCTTTAAAAACGTCTGGTCAGCATAGAAGAGTAGGCCAACTTCTGTCAAGTGGTGCTACAGCGCTCCCTCTAATGGAGGCCCATGCGAGCTAGCAAATGCAAGGGCTGCACATTACTAATTACATTCAAATCCAACTCCCAAATCACATATCCGACCCCTAGTTCACACATTCGACCTCCAGTTCGGCCGTCTGGAACACTCTTCCGATATTAGGAAGCCACTGGAGCTATGCACTTTTAAATAATCTCGATTGAAAACTAATTTCTTTAGAAATGCTTTTTGTGTCTTGTTTGTTGTCCTTCCGCCACACCTCCAATTAGCGCGGTTGGCTATGCATGCTGCGAAAGAAGTTCAGCATACATCCATATGAGTATGGGTCTCTATGGGTCTTTATCGGTCTCTGTGGGTCTTTTTGGTTCTATATGAGTCTCTGGATCTATGTGGGTCTCTATGGGTCTCTTTGGGTCTCTTGCTTTCGATATTAGGAAGCCACTGGAGCTATGCACTTTTAAATAATCTAGATTGAAAACTAATATCTTTAGGACTGCTTGGGTTTAGTTTGCCGTCATTCCCCCGTACCTCCGATTAGCACGGTTGGCTACGTACGGTGCGAAAGAAGATAGACGTATAAACACGTTTTATTTTTCTCTGCTGTCCCCAGGAAGCCCTGCCGGCTAATGGCGGGCGGGTGTTTGGGCGCCGGCAGTTGGACCTGAACCACTACGCCACCAAGAAGAGCGCCGCCGAGAGCATGCTGGACGTCGCGCTGCTCATGGCCAACGCGTCGCAGCTCAAGGCCGTCATGGAGCACGGCACGGCCAGTAACTTCTACGCGGTGCTCATCGCGCTGCTCTCCGTCTCCATCATCTTCCAGATTGTCGTCGGAGTCCTGCTCATCTTCATTGGTGGGAAACGCCTCTCCGTCCCATGTGCGTTTCTTACCCCATGATGCGCAGATGGTTAAGGTCACGAAATCGCAGTGGGGATTCGCTCGGCCTTTCGTTCTTTTCAGAAAGGTTAAAGCGATTTCCGGTTCAATTGAGCATTGTATGTTGAACTTCTTTCGTACCGTACGTAGCCAACCGTGCTAATCGGAGGTGCGGGGGAGGGACAACAAACTCAACGCAAAAAGAAGTTAGTTTTTAATCTAGATTTCAAAGTGCATAGCTCCATTGGCTTCCTAATATCGAAAGGAAGAGAGTTCCAGACGGCTGCAGAAGCGCATCTGAAAGCGAGCGATGCGGTGACCGTCTTTGTTTGATGGCCAGCCAAAAGCCGCTGTGAGGATGACTGGAGTTCGCATGATGGGTTATGCTCCTTAACGAGATCAGCAAGGTATTGTGGTTAATTTGTGGCAAGCACTTTGTGTGTAATGCGACATTGGTACTCCTCTCCTATTTACAGCCCTGAGCTAGTGGTGGAATTTTTGAATTTCTATGGCGGGGGCGAGTGTAACAGAATAAGAATATTTTACTGGAGGAATCCCACGAGCTATGAAGTACTTTTTCACAGATGTCGAGTAGCCATAGAACAACCACTGTTGATTTCCCCCACAAAGCAGTACTTATTTTATTGACACAGGATTTGGACTTTTAACCTTCCGACTACGAGCTGATTACTGCCACTGAGCCACCTGGCCAGGTGGGATTGGTAAAAAAAGTACTGCTTGTCCTCAAAATACAAGGCTAATCCAGTGGTTTGGTGCCTCTGTGTACGTGTTTTCTTCGTAAAAACCCGCTATTTCCATGAAGGCCAAATATCGCTCATGCACAGCTTGTAATCAATCGTATTTATATTGCTCTTTATGTCGTAAAAAATACATAAAGCAACGTAAAAGGTAAAAAAAGCACCACAGAAAACATGGGACAATTCTGGGACCCACAATCCAATGCTACAGTGGATACTGCACGGTAGAGGACTCAACTGGGACTGGCTAGGGTGGGGGGGGGTCGTTCCTTCGTGATGTGGAGACGCGGATAACACTGACACAAAATTGCTTTACGCGCTGTCCTGGTTTTGAGCTAAAGGAGTGTGAATTTTCAAAATCTTTAGCAATTTTTAGGGTGTCCCCCAAAAAGGGGGCGGACCCCCATTATATGCGGGACTTACTATGTCGGCCCACAAGGTTTGAAGTATCGCTTTGTGTGTACTGTATATTTCGCTACCTTCCGTAGCCTTTGCGGGGGTGGGGGGGGGGAACAGTAATTGTCAAGTGGGATTACACACCCCTTCCATGGGAATTCGGAATTTCCACCCCTTGGCTCAGGGCTGTAAACAGGAGATGAGCTCCACCCCTCTGCTTGTTTAAGTTGTAAATCTCTGCCTCCGTGCGTTCCCATTGGCCGCTTGCTCTGCTTGCGTGCGAGGGAGCGCATTGTTACATGCCTCATCCTTTGTTGGGGGGACTCCCGCATGTGTGTGTAGGGGGAGGGGCCAGTTCTTGAGCCTGTTGGATTCGAAACGCTCTGCGATGGTAAAAAGTTAAAAGCACTTAATTGATCATAGGAGGCTGTTTACGGCCCAGCTGAACATCGCAAGCCCAGCTGCGCTGCATTCTGCGCCAGGGTAGTTATGGAGTGTTGCAATAAACACAACCGACGCTGGCCATGGGCTAAGCTGCATCTCGCTGTCAACGGCAAGACATAAATGTATCTTTTTCACGAAACATGTTTTTGTTCAGTGCGTACAGGGGCTCTGACAATCTTGCGTTTTAACAGTTTTGATCCCTCTGACTTCGATGAGTTGTCGCGATTCGGGGTCACGATTCGTTTCGGAGGGAGGTTATATCACGTCAAGTTGTGTTCGATCCGTGAGCCCTTGGTGTAATGTAAGTACCGTGCAGGATGTTTCCAGTTCAGGAGTCCTGGCTGGGGCCCAATCGATCGTTAACACCCGGAGGAACGTTCAAAACGGCCCCATCGATGGCCGAACGACATTGAGTCTGGATAGTTATTTGATGGGCGACCACGGAGTACAAGCGGATTGTTGAGGGGCTACTTGGTCGGCAAAGGGTTCCCTGTCTCTGCCCTTGCTCATGGCGTGTCTGGCGTTTCACGTCGGGCTCCCTCTCGTTTGACCTCTTGACCTCTCGACCTTCCTGCCCCTCCTCGCGTTGCAGTGAAGTACGACCTGAACGACGCGGGAAAGCACCGCAAGCTCGACCTCCTCAACAACATCGCCACGGGCCTCATCTTCATCATTGTCGTGGTCAACGTCTTCATCACGGCCTTCGGGGTTCAGAAGAACGGCAGTCCTGTCTCCGCAGCCCAGGAGGCCCCCCAATAGCAACCAATAACTGGCGCACAGGTACAGACTTTTTTTTCTTCAGTCCACTGCTGGATACGAGCCTGCCCGCGATGTGCGGATCGTGGGTGGGGGGGGGGGTATTTCGTGATGCTTCACCACGCTGGACAGTGCGGATGATGTAGGGGGTGGGGGAGCGTAGATGCAGGAGCCATAGTATAGCACAACAACGAATAATTTCCCCAATACATTCTGCTGCTGGCAACATAGCCCCGAAGCAGCCTACAACACTCTCTCGAACTTATTTCGCACCATACATAGCCAACCGTGCTATAGACGGTGGTCGCCCATCCAAGCACTGTCCAGGCTCAATCCACCTGAGCTTCTGAGATCTGATGAGGAGATCGGGTGATTTATTCATGTACAGTAACTCCAATTAATATTAGCCTGTAAAGTAATTAAGTATAAGCTTATAGTTTGAGGAGGAAGCTAACCCTTAGCTCAATAATTTTAAGGGGAACTTTCCTGGGCTTAAGTTTACACTTCACAACTCCTCACCACAGCATCGCCCAATGTGAAGCATCGTGCCACCTCTTTCAATACCACTCGGCTACAGTAAGTAAAACTGTCTCTGGGCACTCCAGTTCCCTCCCTTACAAAATCGAAGCAGTCCTTAAAATGGACTGGCACATACAGTAAAACCTCGTTATTTCGGCATTTGAACCTTATGGTGGGACCCCGGGGTCCCGAATGAATGGAAGTAGTAAAAAAAAAGTAATTAATTAATTTTTGGCAACTCCGTCCCACCGCGCACATGAACGGCGTGACCCACCTGGCGCGGATCATTCTCTTGTCACGTCGTCCAAGCGCAGCGAGGACGAATGCGCAGAAGAATCAAAACTTTGAAACTTTAATTTGCGCTTCGTGTAGACCTCGTCGAGAGGAATAGATCGCCGTATCGTTCGCCTTCAACAGACATAAAATGACGTCGCAACGCAGTTTATGCGAGAGCCAGGGGCGGATGGGACCCCGGGGTCCCGCCATAAGGTTCATTTGATGATTCTTAATTGGGGATAATTCGGCACGGCTGCGCTTTTGGCAAATATACAGTATTAGTATATATGTCGGAGGAGGCACTGTGGAGTACCATTATACATAATTCGGAATATCGGATAATTCGGCAAGGCCAGAGCCCCATATGTGTTTAAATTAACAAGGGTTTACTGTATGTCCAAGTGTAGGATATTTCTGCAGATAATCTTGAATTCAGATGCAACATGAAAAAAATAAGTCTCTGGTGTGCAACTGTCGTCACCCAGAACAGACCATGGAACATATCAGAATCATTATTCAGACTGGAGGAACCCCGATGAGCTGTGAAGCTCTTTTTCACATATGTCCAGTAGGACATAACTCAAATATGAAGGAGGCATCACAGCGATGGTTCACCACTCCATTACTCCTGATGCAATCGTCTGGTTCAACCACCTCAATGTGAAATTACAGTTGTTGCTCTACAGTCTACATCAACACCGGTCATATGAAGCAGAATCTTGAGTCTCGGTTAGGTTTAGTTGGATAGATACATGGCAATATTATTGTCGCTAGCAAATAATTAACAGTTACTTTTATTTTCCCAAGAATGCCTGACCTGAGTCGAAAATTTATTTTAGGAGGGTCCTGAATTTACATATTTGGCCAGTTCCTCCAGTGTCTTGAGAAAGTGGATTAAAGGGTGGTGGGGGGGGGGTGGTGGTGGTCTTTGCCACCTGCATTAATCACCTATTGATTAGCGCGGTTGGCTACGTACTGTGCGGAAGAAGTTCAACATACATAGATGACGTTAAAGGCCACGCCATGTGTGAAGTGGAGCCATGGTTCGTGGTAATCCGCCAAGCCCGGCTAGTTTGTAGTCGCATGATGAGCTGCGTTCATGGACCACGCCATCCGTTTCCTGTGCAGCAACGTGCACGCGTTGACTGTTTGCTGAGTCGGGAATTAAAGCCACATTAGCGATTGACGTTTGCATTCAGATTAATTATTGGAGCATAAAGTAAATGGTAAAACATGTGTCATTTTGTTATTTTATACATTGGCTTTCACGACCAATGTTATGTTTCATATTTATTTTATTTTATGTTAGATCATCGTAGAGGTATAATGTAAATTATACCCGCACGATTGAACGTTGATTGATTTTAAGTGTTATTTTATAACATATGTATTTTATACTTCTGTATTTTAACTCTTTGCCCATAACATCCTTCCTTAAAACATAAAAAAAACCCCACCGTTTTTTCAGAAACAGATGAGTTGTTCTTGCGTCATGTTTCTGACTTCTTCTTTCGTTTCCAGAAGGCGTGCCGTCATGACACAATCCGTGAACCCTGACAGACCCTTTGAAGCCCGCTACCCCGTGAATTCCTGTGGATACCTTGGGTAGAAAAACACTGAAGCAGCCTCTACGACGGGTCCCCATCCGAGTCTCGGTCATCAGAAAAGAGGATGGCAAATCCCCGCGGTTGTGCTGTACTACAGGCTCTCTGACTTGCATGTAGGTTGTAAAGCACGTTCCTTAGGAATTACAGTCTGTTCTCCTATAACGGTGCTAGTTGCGTTCCTGAAGAACACGGCGTTATGTGAAATAAAAGGTAAAGCACAGTCCGCGATAACACGCGATATGCGTAACGCAGGATGAACAAATACCGAGGCGCGTGGGTAGCATCTAGAAGCGTATGGCAGAATCCCGCCTTACGTGATGCTATGCCGAGGCGGCTGTACAACCGCTTCTTCCTATTCATGCGACGGAGTTCCGTTCACTCAATTGCATTTCATCCAATAAACAAAAACGTAGTCCCTAATACATTCATCGCATTACTATCCAATTCGCGTGATAAAAATACGCCATATAGGAGAACAGACTGTACGTCCTGTCGCAGCAACATGTGCTACAGCACAAACAAGACCGTTGAAGAGCGATTTGTTAAATGGTTTGACAACGAAAAAAATGCTTGCAATGTTTGCAACAATAACATTGGTGATGTTGGACAATATTATATTTGTCAGACGGTGACATATTCTGCAAATAATTGTCAGAAATTACTTAACCAATCGCTCCTGAGGTTGTCTGATCAGATTTGACCTTTTTTTTACTAGATTGTGAACAAATAACCTTGCACACATGTTATTTTCGATTTCGTTCGGTGATTGATTTGCTTACATGAATTGTTATACTGTACTGTGTTTTTTTTTAAACTTCATGTCAACCTATTTAGGCATAATATGCATGCAGGTATAACTGTACAAGGTATTTACATCATAATTCTCAACTGCATTTGAGGGTGCTTATATTATGGAAGTTTGTTCATATTTTATAACATAAAATTCGTTAAATTCTTGGTAAGAATTTGCAGGTGCACAAAATGCCACTGAGCCACATGGCAAAGTTAAGAGTACTGCTTATATAATCTTGTTTACAAGGTAAATTATAATAGCTATGATTTACTAGGAATACTACCATGGTATCAATTTGGTTAACACACTGAACTGAGGTCTATCTCCTGGTGCAGCACACCGGATATATACTGTACATTGCCTCTCCATACACAGTCAATCAGTAGGTCGCATGGAAGAGTAGGCCAAATACCACTCCAGAGGGGTTCTATAGAACTCCCTCTAGTGGAGGCCTGTCCACCAGCAGTGGCATGAGCAAGCAATTGCAGGACTGCACCTTTACCGTTTTTACTTTGCTATGTAAATAGTTTCAGGAAGATTCGGACTTGCTATCATTTGTGCAGAGGCTTGAGAAGTACATTTGGCTCATGGTGTATCGGGAAACAAACGCTGGGATTCCCATTCCTGTATTTTATTGTTCACTTAATTACGTACAGGCAATGCACGTGACTTTGCGTTTTAAAGGAGAGCACATAATCGTGTACACATTCACTTCACGGTGAACTTGCCAGATGAGTGTGTGGCTCATGGCTTGCAATAATCTCGGCTTTACATTTCTCTGTGGTCAATAAATGAAGTACCACTTTGTGGGAATTCACAAGTGGTAGTCCTATGGTATATAGCCTGTGCCATAGGAACATGGAATTTCCACCACTGGCCCTTGCCTCTAAACCTTGCGCCATGCTTATCACATTTATGACTGGAATTTACTCGATATAGAGTGGATCCACATGGTGCTCGTCTTCACACCGCAAACCTCAAACGCTTGAGACTGTCGTGGTGAGGAGGGGGCCGGCAAACTCCAGGCTCATAAAATCAACAACCCCTGCTGAATGTTTTAACAATTATAAAGTTCAATTGATTCATTCATGAGAATTGGAGAATTGGTTCTCATGCTCGTAATACATGCCTTGAATTGTGCGTGTCAAAATGTATTTCGGATCGTCATCATCAGCCATGATCCGTCAACCATTGGATAAATGTCTCTCAAGCGGTTTCCTCCTCTCATCATGCAACTTTATAATGTGCTCCGTACCTGACACGAACTGATTTACTTGCTCGTAACCTCGGTTGACCTCCAACTCGTGATTTATCAAAATTATTTGCAAATGATTTGCTCATGCTACCTTAAGCTGTTGGAGCAAACACAACTGCAAATGAGATATTTTTAAATGTACATTTTCAATTACAAACATATACCCCTGTTTGGTTCAAATGTCGTACATTGATTGGCCAGCCTCCATCCCAGTTGCCATTGTGTACCATTTGTGTAAAAAAAATGTGTACCTCTGCTATGGACAGTTGAAATTTGTAAAAGTAGCCTGTGCACCATTAATAATATAGCAGCGTGACAGTCTACATTCCAGACATCTGACCCTACCACTGTAAATTATGGGGGAGTATACTTTATTTGTTGTACTGTCGTGTCAAGAATGTGAGATTTTTTTATACAGTGGGTGTATTGTCGCACCAGTTATTTATCTGAAACTGCTTTGCATTTTACACTCCAGGCAGAATGTCTTCCAAGTCCCATTTTTGGTGATAAAGGCAGCGACACTTGTGGTGTAATGATCCACATTCACTGGGTTTCCAGTCAGAATGAGGGGGGAAATGGAGGTAGCCAAGCAGCTTAGAAGTCCGAGACAACATTGCCAAGGACCTAGGTTTGAATCCAGGCAGCTGCCTGGTTATTAAAAAGTGGATTTTCAGTTTTAGTGAGTTGATGGTCTCAGCCCATTCACCAGTGACTGCACAAACAACCCATCGGATACATTTTATTTACATTTGGCCAAATTCTAGACCAGAATGCAAAATGTAGTTTTTCAGCTCACAGCAGAGTTTGTGGGTGAGTGCACACTCTACTCTTTAAATAACAAAAAGGGCAAGCCCTGTGAAAAATATCTTGAGCAGGTCGGTATCATAGCACATGGGGCACACTGCTCTTGAGATTTACAAATGGATTCTTCATCTCGTGAGCAATGGCAATTGGGGAAAATAGACGATGCATTTATTTTACAGCATGAGATATAACTTACATGATAGGAATCTATATTTGTCTATATGAGTTGATTAACAGTTTTCTAATACGGAATTATTTCTCATTAACCATAGCTAGTGTTGTGTACCTTGTTTTTTTTTAGTTCCTTATAACTATGGATGGAATTCGCCTCTAAAGTCGTATTCACTGATTAAATCTTGATTTAAAGCTTTCGTGACTGCAGGAATTCATATTCTTTGGGTCTTTCGGTCAAGTCACGTAAATAGAAATAACAGATCGCGACGTTTCGTTCGCAACACAAAGAACGTGAGTGCCAGTATTCAGCACTTATTCGAAAACTGAATTGGAAGCTAAGCAAATGAGTGGAAAAAGCAGCACCTGAGTATAAATTATTGATTGCAATATTGCGAATTCCAGAACTTTTGCTTGATTTACTCATGTAGTTCCTGTAACATAGAAAATATGAATGGGCATTAAAAAAATACTTGAGGAATTTTTGTTTTACATGATATTTAAATTAGGTGTTTGTGCACACCTAATTTAAATATCATGGCATAAATAAACTGTTTGCGTTCATTAATGCAATTTCCCTCTGCATCGTGACGCAGACAATGGCATTGTGCGTGTGTCAGGAATAACCATGTCTTCAAAATAAGTGTTTGGGCCACATTTTAACAAAAATTAGGCTTGCATAAAAAATTGCTCGCTGTCATTAAAAGTTAACTGTTGATTTTTAAACGCCTGCCGTTGAATTTATTTAATTACGTTGAGGCCTTACAATTTTGAAAACAAGTCATAACTGTTTTTCCTGTTTATTTCCTTTGCAACACGTGAATTACGTTTGGATGCAAGTTACTTTTAAAGCTAACGCACATAAAATAGCCTTCGTAAACTTTTAAAGTAGCAATTTTAAAAACGTCTTTTTTTCATACATTAATACGATTTCTCAGGGAAAAATTATTCCCTCTTTTTGTACTGTGGACTACATAATACGCTTGTATGCACAGTCTAGTAAAAAAAAATGCGTGACATTTGCTCAGCATGTGCCTGTCCTTTTTTTCTGCGCGGCATGAAGCACATCCATCGCGTTTTGTGATTCCAATCCTCACTATGTTTAGCACAATAATGCTTTGTTTGACGAGCTACAGTGTTGGATAATTGCCCTTGGCTGTGCATTGCAGGCAGGCCCATGGTGGCCACGGGCCTGTTTAGGCTAACAGGAACAAAACAGAAATCCTCAAATCCAGTGTTCACGAATTTTTCAGAGGGGCGGGGGGGGCACTTTCGCCTGAGAAGAACACGAGTGTGAGGGCCTGCCACACCGCCTGCAAGTGGTGTTTTCACATTGTGTGTATCGTGGAGGGCCGCAATGAAGGCCACCAGGGGCCACCAGTCCTTGCAGTGAAGAACACTGCTCTCATCGAATCGTAACCCAAAATCAATACGACTAATCGAATATCCTGTGCTGGCGTGTAAATGATTACACCTGCTGAAGCCATAGATCGGTTACTGCAGATTTCCAGAATGTTCGTGGGCTCATTATTTCCCAAGTGTATGGCCACCCTCTTGTTGTGGAAGGATGCTGAAGACCTTTTGGCATCATTTGAAAGGGTGGAAAATTGCCTAACAAGTGGCCAAAACATTACCATATATAAATAACCTTTAGTGGAGGCTATTCTATCATGAATGTGTCGTAACAACAGTATATATACGTTTACAAAGAATTATATCTTCTTAAATAATATGCTCAGAGACTTTTTTCTGTAAATTTCTGCCCCTCTGTGCTCCTCAGTCGCGGTGACGTCACGCACTGCAACCAATCGGCGTGAGCGACGGGGCTCATTAACATAATTTTATACCTCGCGCTTTCGCCCAGGCTGGCTGGCTGCTTGCTGATCGTTAACACGTGTGTCAATTTACCTGTAAACGTGATGATACAAACTTCCGATAATAAAATAAAGGTGAGACACCCTATCCACGCACTAATAATTTATAATCCTGTGCTGAAAAAAATGCAACATTATTTGCAACTCGCCGTCTTAACACTTTACAGGCAGTCCCCGGCTTACGAACGGGTTCTGTTCCTAAGGCATGAGTGCAACCGATGGTCGTAAAGTCGACGCACTAATTGTACGAAAGCCCCCACTTACGACAACACATTGAACAAATTCCGTACAAAATAACTTTCAATACAACTCGCCTGACTCGCACTGGCGAAACGAAGCACCCAAACTATTTTGCTTCAGCGGAGCGATCCTCCAACTATAATGAGTCCTTAACGTCACCGCTGGGAGTGTGTGTGCACGCGTGTGTGTACGTATGTATGTATGTGTAATGACGACTTCGACACACTTGTCTTGAGATGGTTTCTTTATTAAAGAGCCACATTCTCACACTGGAACAGGCGGAGACCCCACTGCAACAGCCCCGAGTCTCCCGCGCATCTCCCTTATATACGGTCCGAGGCCACGCGTGCACCTAGCCTGGCACAAGCGCCGTGGTGACGACGCCGTGGCGAATGTCGGTTTTTGCCACGTGCTTGTTTACTGATAAGTAGCGCTCTGCTCCTCATCATTAAATCCTTGCGGAAGTTTTGCGGGTTCCCGCTCGTAGGTTTCATAATCTGGTCCTTAATTTGATGTCCGATCCCTCTCAAATGGTCGTGTACGATAACACTTTCGGAGGCATTACTGGTGAAATTGAGGAAATCGCTTCTGTGGTTGTAACTACCTCATTTGTGTTTGTGTCTGTGTGGTTTGGTGCTTTACCTAGATTAGTTCAGTTAATGTACGTGTTTGGGAGGAAACCGGAGAAAGGGCAAGGCGGGGGAGGGGAGACACTCCTATAACCGTACAGATGTAAACAGATGGCGATTAATCCACTTGCTGGCGAGCCCAGGGCTTTCACGGCAGAATTGGACAAACTTCCCAATGGAAAGACGCTCGTGATACTGAGTCCACGAGAATTCGCGATTAACTATCATGGGCAAACCCAAGATCATATTTTACAGGAGCATAAACCAATCACGCGAACCCCGATCGATCATCGCAGCAGCGGTTGTTGGATGGCCATCGAGCAAAGACGGTCAAACGCGCTTCTGCAGGGCCCGTCTGGAACGTTCTTCCTTCCGATATCAGGCATCCACTGGAGCTATGCACTGTTAAATCGTCCAGATTGAAAACTCAATTATTGAGAACTGCTTTTTTGTGTTTAGTTTGTTGTCATTCACCCGCACCTCCGATTAGCACTGTTGGCTACGTACGGTGCGAAAGAAGTTCAACATACATACATACACGAAGCTCTGAATAATATACAGTAGTAATCTCATCCCAGTCAAATCACCCGGAAAAACTAAGCGGGCTTGGGCTGAATAGTGCTTGGATTGGCCACCACCGTGCATAAACAGGTGCTATAGGTTGCTGTGGAGTTAGGTTGTCAACAGGGGAGCGACTGAAGCAATTGCAAACCATTTTTTTACCGTACTATGCTTCAATCAGGAATGTTTTAAGTATGTTTTTTTTAATTAATTGTGCATCACTGCCAACGGCTGCAGCGACATCACGAAATTATATGTACGGTTAAAGGGGGAATGTGTGGTTGTGTTGTTGTTCGTGGGGGCTGGGATTGAGCTATCACTTGTGATAGCCAGGTCGCTTCTGAGAGTATGTCTTGCCTGGTAATATAAACAAAAATAGTTGTTTTATTTGTATACATAATTAAAGTGATGTGTTTACCTCTCCTTTACTTTGCACTCCTAATCGTGTCTTTGTGTCGTTTGTTGCTGTAACGTCCTGACCTGAATCGACTGGAATTCTGTTTAAAAAAAGAGCTTTATAGCTCATCGGATTATCCCTCCGGGATAAATGAACCATTCTGACCGCCACTCTGCCACCGCTCCGCACGTGTTTTGCCCACGGCCCCGCCGCGCATGCGCACACCGCGCACACACCACGCGTCGCCGTGGCAACGCGCGCAGGGCCTACCTGCAACGCCCGAAGCCTTTTTTGTTTCGCAACAACGCATCTGGAACGCCAGTCAATGCTCGCCCGTGATTATAATCACAAACGACGACGGGCAACGCACAGCGTTCACAATCAGCGCCACAATATAGCCACGCTCTGATGGAGAGGGCGGTGGTTATCGGCGCCCCGTCGCCTTTCGACGCGTCTTTCGGGAGGCCGAATCTGTTGGGCAGCCAGGAGGTGAACATCTTGCACCTCGCCGACCTCCTGCAGGTGCACGACCACGATGAGGATGAGGACGACGCGGCGGAGGCCGTGGGTGACGAGACTTCGGTCCCCGCCGCCTCTGAGGCCAGGCCCGACCGCAGACATGCTTTGCCGGCGCCGAGAGCCGGCACAGAGGTGAAGCGTCTGAGCAGCAACATTCATCAACCTTTATTACGAATAACATTCATCATCTTCGATCGGTGTTGTCTCTATCGCCGTCCATCGTACGAAGCCATCCCCACATCTCCATCCTCAAACTCTCAGCAATTTACTTCTCCGTCCTCATTTTTATTATTCCAGTGTCTTTATTGCCATCCATTTCACATACTCCACTTTGATTTTATTTAACGCAGGTGGATTTTTTTTTCTCCGCGTCCTCCGTGTGTTTCGCTCAACGTTTAGAAACACGCGTTTAAGAGTTTTTGGCTGATATAAATTCCCACGTGATAAGCCACTTCGTTGAGCTATCATTTGTGATAGCTTTTGAAAAAAAGAGCTTCACAGCTCAGCGGGCCTTACCTGGTAAAAAAATATAGTAGTTTTGAATTTCCTTCATAAACCCAGCCTCTTCGCCACCATCAATCTCTCATCCCTCAGCAGTCTCCATAAATGTCCAACATCCTTAATGCGTTATCGCCATCATCTCTACCCTCTGTCTTCTCCCCATTCTCCATCCAAATCATCCATCTCCGTCCTTCGTTTGCTAGCTCCCTTCTCATCGTCTCTACGTATTTTGGTTTTATTTTGGTGTTTTCGGACCAATGGATAAAAATTGTGTGGTCGGCATGTTTCCTGTTTTGCCATCTTCAAATGCGACACTGTAAAAATCAAACTGCCTCCATGCTCAGACAGGATGACACATTTTTGACTTCCCACTTCGTTGATGCTTATCCTCGGTACGATTTAAGTAATCTGCCAACCCTTATCATTGTTATCAGCCATGATCAATGAATTGTTGGGTGCAGGACTTTGCAAGCCATCAACGACGCAGCAATCTATTTCACTTCCTGCACATCAGCCGATTTCCATCGCTCCATCTGTTGCCGTGGTCACCCTCCGTGGGTCGTGTAAACTTCCTTCGGCTCCATCGTTAGTCTCGACCCACCGATCGCCCTTCTTGCAACGTTTGCTGTCCAGGTCCAGGTCAACTGGGCTTTATTAATGAGTACCTGGTGCTCTGTACCAACAGCCCCGTGGAATGATACTCTTAGGGTCTTTCGGTAAAGTCACGATCGCAACACAGGCGATCGATACGTCGTGAGCTTTTATTTTTCTACCTACGTGACTTTAACGAAAGACCCAAGGAGTATGAATTCCTGCAGTAACGAAAGCTTTAAATCAAGCCCCGTGGAGATAGAGTTTAATTATAACAATAGGGTTTTACCCTTTCTGGCAATAAAGCAGGTGTTAAGATGTTAAAACACCAAACATAATAATTTTTCAAGGAATCCTGTCTGCATTAAACATACGTGCTGGTGGTAAACATGCAAAGAAAAAACACATAATAATGAATATAGACATAGTCTTTGAAACTGATTGGTCCACACAAGAGACAGCTTTATTTAGAGCCAAAATGCGAACAGCACAAAGACAACGCCACTATCAGCGCATTTATAGCTCGGGTGAGCAGCTACAATATGGGACCTTTCTTGCCAGTATCAAAATATAACAATAGGTTCTACCCTTTCTGGCACGAAAACAGGTGAGTTAAGATGTTAAAACACCAAACAGAATAATTTTTCAAGGAATGCCGCCTGCAGTATTAACCACACGTACTTGTGGTGAACATGCACACAAAAAAACATGCTCTGGCAATATGCGCATTGTCTATGAAACTGTTTGGTGCACACCATGTAAAGCTAACTTCTGGGTACGAGGCTGACCACACCACCCAGTCATGCAATAGGCCCACCTTCATATGTGCTCACTCGCAGTACTTTTACCCCACTCGCATAATTCGTGGCCAAAGCTACAAGTTGGGGCCCCCTTGACAACCACCATGAGATGTTTTCAACAGTGTCAAATAATAAAGTAAATATTCAAAACGCGGTTTAAATGTATTTTATGAAAATGCTTCATAATGTTATTTAGGCAAGATTAGCCGTGATATATACCCCAGTTGCAATCGTGCAAAACAAATTAAATATTGGGGCCCCACCTGACCAATTGCCGCACCGTCTGAGCTGATAATGTACTTCCGCCACTGCTTAGACGCTTTTTGTTTATCTGTGTCATCTGTAGCTCCGAGTGGTCGAGGTGCTGGATCAGGATACAGCGGCTCATGGTCTTTCCTGCCTTGGCCACTCGGCTCTGGGCACAGATCTGGTGTACCTCCACCTGGCACTCCCCGTGAGTACAATATTCAGATTTATTACAGCAGAAGCTGGATTTAAGCACACGTATCTGATTTAGGCATCATGTCCTTACAATACGCTGGTGTGGGGAAGCCAATGGCAAATTTCTGATACAGGTAGACTTCAATATAAGTACCGTATAGCTGGACATTACTTCCATGGGGTCTGATTTTATGCGGCTACTACTGAATTAAAATGAGCTAATTTAGGAGCCATATGCTATGATGTATTAACGAAAACCTCACTGAGTTTCTAATAATGTGTTTGAAGGATTATCCAGTGCTAAGATGTTTGGCACTTGTCATGTTATGTGGGAGGAAACCAGAATGCCCGGAGAAAGCACACACTCACAGAAGAAGATGTATGGTTGCATGCTTTTATTGCCACCTTGTAGCCTACTTGCAGCCCAGTGAGTTTGGAGGGTTTGACACATCTTTGTGATATACCATCCCCTATCTCCAAAGTGCTCAATCACAGGCTTGCACCTCCAATTAGCACGGTTGGCTACGTATCATGCGAAATAAGTTCAACAACGTACATACATTAAGTTAGCGATTTTCATCCAGCGTAACATACCTAGTAATATATTACATGTGGACGCAAGTCCAAATGTTCAAGCTTTACAACTTGACCACACGGTTATTGTTAGCAGAATAACTTTGTACTCGTGTGTATTTATAGATGCGTGGTGATTCTAATTTAAAATATTTCACATGTATTTTTGCATATGCATTCATTTACTCTACAGGGGTATGGGCTCAAAGATATTGGGATTCTATCTGGCTATGTTCACATACAAAAACTGGACCTTTCTCACAATAAGATTAAAGGTAAGAGAGCCACATTTTAATGATTATGTTTTGCCTTTTAGCATACGCTTGAATGAGTTTGCAATAATACTACTTTGCAACTTTGTAATTCTTACCAGAACATTGCATAAACTGTTGTTCCCATCTTGAATATATTTCAGAACTTTCTGTTCTTGGTAACATGCCGTATCTTGTGGAACTGAAGGTCTCGCATAACCAGCTAACAAAGCTATTTGAATTTTCTATTCTCCGTTTCCTCAAGGTAAGTTGATTGGAGAAGCAAACGCATTTAGCAAATTGCATGAGTGTACCTTTACGTTTACCATCAATACATTGTTTTCATTGACTTGCTTGTTAATACGTTGCCGTAATATTTGTTGTACAACCTTATTTTTCCTCTATAGGAGGCTGATTTCTCATACAACACCATCAGTGAGATGAAGGACATGTCTGCTTACAAATCCCTCACAAAGCTCGTTCTTGACAGTATCCTTAAGCATGTGCATTTGAAGTGCATTAATTCATTGTCACGATCTCATTGCATGTTTACTTTCAACGTTTGCCCATTTAAAGTATGTACAGTTGTATAACTATTAGACCTGTAATGATATGCCAGTGATGAGATTCGATGAATTGTCAAGATTTGGGGTTGCCACTATTCAAGAAGCAAGTATATATGTTTTACATGTTGGTGCACTATAACACCTCTAGTGACTGCAAGGGTCACGTGAGCTGATTACATACAGCATATACGAATTGAACACAATCGATGCGCAAATATGATTCTATGCACGGCTTGTTGGCGTAATACACTTTCATCCATGAATTGATGTAGCGTTACACTTTGTACAGATACTATGCTGTAATTCTTCTCTTGGTATTTAATATTGTCTCTTTATGCAGGCCATATCTTCGTTTGTTTCAACTCCATTTGGCTATTCCTCAACGTCCGTCTGCCCTGCCAGACAACAACATCAGTGAAATCATCGGCCTGGAGGAGTGCAGCAGCCTGGCTTATCTAAGCCTCGCACACAACCGCATTCGACGTCTCGATGGGCTGGGCAGCCTTCCCCTGCGCTATCTCTGTCTGGTGCGTTGGACGATTGTCCTATTTTCCGGGATAGCTGTGTGTCTGCGTATTGTCCACTTCAACGTTTGTTGGTGCAGGTTGCACGGAAACGTATAGAAGCGTCGTGTTTTTAAAGACAACACTGTGCGACACTGAAATGCATAACCTGGAGGGGGTTTATTACCTCTTCGGAATTTCAATATACAGGATGTTATTGTGTTCATTAGAGAGGCAACCACCTAAGAAAAATAACAGGTTTGGAAAAACTCTGGAAGCTCGAGAAAGTGGACCTGTCTGGCAACAAGATACGGAGCCTCAAGGGACTGGAGGGACACTACCGCTTGCAAGAGTTGGACATGGAAGGGAATCAGGTCTGTGGCACCTATATAACCTAACCCTGTGGCATCTCATACATATTCCACTGCTGGCTGGATGAGGGCCTCTCTACACCATGGGGGTTGTGGGGGTTATTTGACCATACTTCACAACGCTGGTCCATGCGGGTTGGTGAAGGTGAGACGCATAGAAGTATCATACAACAATTTAGCTGAACTGCCCTCTGCTGTCCCACATTTAGTCCTGCAGCCTATATGAATGATGATCATACATATGCATGGTGGTTGGCAATTCAAGCACTTTCCAGTCTTAAGCCGGCTTAGCTTTTGAGATCTGACAAGATTGGGCACATTCCAGGTTATTTGGACAGTTCATAACCCATCCAGCACTTCCGATTAGCACGGTTGACTATCCTGAATGCTAGCCACAGTATCCCTTTCCAATCTTCCTCCAAGAGCTTTACATGAGCCAAAGGAATGTGATCATTCAGCCCCTCCATGATTCAATATATATTTTTATTTTGGGCCAAAATCATAAAATGTAACTATAAACAACTTTATTGACATCATAATTTTCAGCAGTCACTCAGTCACTATAAATGGGCATTTCCACAATTTTAAAGATATACATTCCAGAGACTTCAAAGATGATGGCTAATCACTCTTATATTAATGATGTGGCTTTTTACTTGGGCATAGTATGTCACCCAATTAAAATTATATTTGAGAAATAAAGGTGTTTATTTCTTCATATCTTTAGATAAGAGATAAATGCTCATAAAATACCACGGCGTGGAACGTAGTAACATTTTCATCCGTGCTGGGAAGCTGACGATGCATTCAGCTTCGTTCATGTGTCAAACTATTGACTTCCGTTTATAATCCATATTTTCAAAAGCCATTGATAACTACCTTCAGAATGGTACTCCATATGCAGTGTTAGGATGAGTCTGACATTTAAGACTGAGGTTCCCTAATTGTGAAATTGGCCATATAACAATCACAAATTGTGCATGTGCAGTTCAGTGGATGTGCCATGAGCCTAATAATTTATCTTAATTTATGAATTGTTACATCCATAATGAACATCCTTGCTAGTGGATGTGCATTTTGACTGGTCGGCTTTGATGTCTGCAGATAACGGAACTGGCCGAGGTGAAGTACATTAAGGACCTGTCACTACTGAGGGTGCTGAACCTGCTGCGAAACCCAGTGCAGGTGAGTACCTGAGTACTAGTTTCCCTTCATTTTACGTTCACATCTCAAACTTCTAATAAACAAGATGCTTGGACAGCAGTTATTCCAACACTATCCCTTGAAGTGGTATTGTCATAATTTGTCAACTTTTTATTGAAATTCCCAGTCAACCTTCATTCAGTGAGAGGTTGCTCACTGTTGGTCCCCATCATCTGGAACTCATTCTTTTCCCCTGCCATCCATGTTGTCGACTTCCTGTCCAGTTCAAGTATAGGCTCAAGACATTCGTTTTTCCCTCTACCTATGGCTGATTCTCTCCATAAAATAAATATGATTGTTGTTTCGCTACAGTCTTAAGATGCAGTTGCATTTAGATACTATGTAATTCCAAATTGTATTGTAAATTGTAAAATAATTTCACGTAGTTTGGAGGAGATACAATAATATAATTTGTGATTTTTCAAGTGTCTAAATGTGGCCACATCGCAATTTGTCCATGCAAAGGGGGAGGGGGGGGGGGTGTGCATCGAAAGGAAATAGGAAAGGTAAGTTGTTGTTAAGGTTATTTTCTTCAGAGACAGAGTGCAGTAAGATAGCGAGCAAAATGAGATGCCATTATGGTTAGGTGTGAATTAAAACACTACGAGAAACGAGGCAAAGAGAAATTGACCAATCTTAGGCTTGTACCTGTACAGTGCAAAGGAGTTGGCATTGCAGATTGATCGAGATGTAATTCCAGGTGATGGGGCAGCAGCAGATAAGGAGAGACGACGTTCCTTGAGTTGAGCTTCTGAGATTCATCCGTTGGATAAACATAATTTTAGTCCATTTGTAATCCATCTTTGGTAGAAGTTATTTGTGTAAAACAACTTTCTGCATTTTCCTACTCAAAATTATGTTTATTTGGATTGTACTGTGTTTTGCCATGCAGTCCCATTGTAGTAGTTTCTGTATTAAAAAATATATAACAATTAATCGAGTGCGTGTGCACGGTTACACAGCGCAGCAGTGCCACCCCACGGTTGGAGAGGTTCCCTGCCACTTACCACGTGAAATATCACACTTTGTGAAGCGGTCGTGAGGAATGGGGAGGGGTAGTGGTGGATGGGTGGACAGACTCACAGCACACCGTATAGTTTATTTGGTGTTTACAATAGCACGCACACATACTTCACAAACTAATATGTGCATTACATAGGTTCACATGACCGACACGCATGGGAAGGCGTTTATCCATCAGTGGAATGACAATAAGCCATACAAAATTTAACAGTGTATAATATATTGATTTTAAGAATTGCACATCGAGTTATAATTTATAAGACTACAGGTGTCATCTTTGTTGGGGAGAGGTATAATGAAAATGTTGCTGTGTACAGAGTGGACTGTGAGGTGTGGCTAGCACATGTCAGTGAATAGATGGGGTTGAATGGGGCCACCCCTTGTTTATATAATACCAACCCCTATGATTGGTTAAGCACGGACTCCAATATCTTGACCATTTATTCAAGCCGTAGGCTTCTGTGTGTGTATACGTGTGTCATGACATGTGTGTATGTATTTATTTTTACTTTCCTTGTGTCAAATCCACTGCTGGATTTGGGTCTCCCCATGCCTATTCAATCATAGGGGTTGTTTGTGTTTGACCACTGTAGTCAGTGCGGGTTGTTGAATGCAGCCAGAACCTGTGCTGAAAACGCTCACTACTGATGTTAACCATGGCCAGGAATCAAACTCAGGATGTGTGGGTTAATCGTGCAGTGTGGTAGCTACTATGACACTTCTCTCCCCAAGTATTTAATCCCACACACAATTGGGAACATTCTGCTCACTGGTTACTCATGAACTATAATTTTCTACATTTGAAATAAAGAAAATGTATAAATATAACCTAATTACATTGTTAAAGGCATCCGTATAATATAGTGTTCTTCACTAATTTTCAGAGGGAGAGCCACTTTTTCCGATAAGACATCACTTTGAAGGCTGCCACACATTTGAAAACATTGGGTTTGACAGCACAACGGGGTGTTTTCACATTTGTGTATTGTCGGAGGCCGCAACACATCAGAGGCTGCCAGTGGTCTGCGGGCCTTGCAATGCAGAACACTGGTATAATGCAAATACGTATTGCGGAGTGTATGCCACTGTTCTATTGTGTGGCCGCATGCGGGCCGTCTGGGAGCGAGCAGGAGAGTCCAGGACACCGCATCGCCGCCGTGTTCCAGCTGCAGACGCTCGTGGATCTTGACCTCCGCCGGGTCACCGTGGAGGAGAAGGTGAGGGGCCGGGTCGAACGCATCCAACAATCTTTTCATGATTTTAATATTTACGACAATATTTAATTGAGAAGAAAATCTAAACTTAGATGTACATTTTAGATGTGCACACCTCATGTAAATCTACTGCTGAATGAGGGCCTCCCCTCACCATTGGGGTTATGTTGGTTATTTGACCATACTTCACCACACTGGTCAATACAGGTTGGGGAAGGCAGGGAGAATCGACGTGGGAATGCAGAATTGCAATAAAACAATGGAAGTTGGCGACCTTGTATATGCAATGCATCATTATTTTAAACAATTAACACAAGTGTACAAGCCAAACAGTATACATACATACATGAAGTGTATTTATTCATAATAACAACTCTTTGATCTTCTAATGTACAGTTGTGCAAGGATTGCTCCCATTATTGATCATGTCATACGTCTGTCATCTAGTGGAACAATCTGGGGTGAAAATATTGTGGCTGATGGTCAGGAACATGCTCCATTAACTACAAAAATGTTACTGAAATTGCGCTGAGATAGGGTATAGTAATATAAAGTCCCTCCTTTTTGAAACACCCTCATGAGTAGTTTTTTACGTAAGTGTTTTAATTGAGAAGTGTCCCAGAATTGTTTTTTTTTATTAACAACAATTGTATTACCCAGGAAGCAAACTTTTGTTAAGAGTAGACAGATTAAGTGGGTGAGAAAAGTAAATAACTTAAGATCAATGTGCGGCTATTTGTGGGGAGATGATACTGTAAAAAAAGAACACTATCAAATGTGTGATCGTAAAGTGTTCCAGTGGGCTATCTTACGAAATATATGGATGATCAACTTTGTTCCAGGACACCTGTCAGTTTATAGCCAGTCAATTTCTTATTGTCTCAACGAAGTTTAATAGAAGAAGAGGACTAACAGGTGTGTGTGTGTGTGTATTGTGCGAGGTGGCTGCTGTGAACAGGTTTAACCCTTCTCCGGAGATGGTAGCTGCGCGGGACCACGTGATCCAGGTGGTTTATAGCACGCTGCAGCCACAAAGAGTCCTTGACAGGTAGGTCTCGCTTCCACAGCTTTCAAACAAACACGAGCAAAACATGTAGATGAAAAACACTCGGCCTTTGCATGCTATGCAAAAAACCATAAGCAGTTTCTGAAGAACTGCTTTGTTGTCCTCTTGTCTTAGGTCACACATCAAAGAAAAACATGTTTCTGTCTCAAGATATGGATACGTTAAAATACGTCAAAATAACCGAGAATTATTGTCGTAAAAGTCTAATGTGAAGTGTCCTTCAAACAGCATGGGTGGATATTCTGTGTCCTGCATTTAGCGGGTTTTTTTTGGGAGAAGACTCCAAAAAATGAAAAAATTGTAGAAAAAAATGCACTCTCTGGAAAGCTCAAAAATGTAACCACGGGGAAGGTGGACCCAGGACCAGTTCACACATTACTTTCCACTGATGTAGGTTGCGGCCTGGAATTGAACTCGGCATGCTGGCTTCATTTCACAGTCTTCTGACTGCTGCTCCACCCCTGGCGTTTATCGAATAGATTATCCTCAGGGCCATGCTTTTGATTGAGTAACCAAAAAAATACAAAAATATTAAATTACGCTTAAAATATTGTAAGCTGACCCAAACATTTGCAACCTCTTTTTGTTAAATCACTTCCTTCCAGCCACAAGGGAGGGGTGCGGTGGATTGAGGGGAGGGGCCTAGCTCACAGAGCTGCACCATGGAACAGGACTCGAGTTGTGTGGTGACCTACAAGGCCTAGCATGGATCGGGTCCAGTTTGTGCCTTTGCTGTTGATAACTGAATGTTTAGGATCGCCCGTCTGTAACCCGGTGCTCTCAAGGCGAAGGTTGGCGGGTCACGTGGATATGTGAAGCTCCTAAACATATTCAGCTGCAAGGTGGTCAATGAATTGCAGCACAACAAATGGATTCCTGAACCTGTCTTTGTGGAATTTTCATCATTATCCCCTTTCATGCCTAAGTTTTCTCTAGGTTCCTGAGATTCCCCCCACACGTCAACAATCATTTGCGGAATTGACTGAACAATGCAATGCACTACTCTTCGGGAAAAATAATATACAGACTCACCAAATCGCATGTGTTCTATGACTTTGTTTTGAGACAATATAGCTTAGATGCGTAAATAAGATGGTGAGATGTTAACTACCTCGCTTAGTATGGCAGATTTCGTGGGTTCGATCCCGACCCTGATGCATGTATATTTGCAGTTTACATGTTCTCACAATGGTCTCATATATTTTTCTCCGGGTCCTCCAGTTTTTTCCTCCATGTTTAGAAACACGTGTTTAGAGTATTTCGCTGCTGAAAATGTACACGTAATAAGCCACTTCGTTGAGCTATCATAGTTTATCGTTTGCAAATAACGTAATAGAGAATATTATTGTGTTATTTTACTTTATCAATTTATTATTTTATTCTCATTCTACGTGACTTTACCGAAAGAACCAAAGAAGATAGTTTAGTTTAGTGTGCAGATCAGTGGAAAATGTACATGTAAAATAGTCTGTTTCCCCTTCCAAAGCCCCTCTGTTGCATTCCTTCATGCCCGCCCCCGAGACGCAATTACTCGTGTCTCTCGCTCGCAGCACCCTGCCGTCGCTGGACACGCCGTACCCCATGGTCGTTTTGACGGGGCCCAGGGCGTCCGGCAAGCGCGAACTCAATCACCGCATCTGCCGCGAATTCTGCGATTTTTTGGGCTATGGGTGAGTGTGATCGGGCACTGGGTGAGTGGCTGTCAAGATCGTGCGCTCACTTGTTCCGGCTGTTTCTGTTGTTGTTTCTCAGAGTCCCTCGTGCCTTGCTTAGCAGCCTCCGATTGGCATGGTCTGCACCTGCAATTAGTACGTTTGGCTACGTACGGTGCGAAAGAAGTTCAACATACATACAGCAGCCTTTAAACAATTATTGACTTATATCTGCCATGGGGATGTGGAATTTACACTACAGCTCAGGGCTGTGAAGGGACCATGAGCACATTGTTTCATTGGGAAATTACTTCACAATGCTGAGTTCTGAAACACTTTTCTCTTTATGTTTTTGCTTTGCAGCTATTGAAAAGCAATTAGTGACATTTTAAGTGATTTAAAGTGCTTTTGAGCAAATCGCCTGGAATGCGTCTGATTTCTTCAGATCTCGGACGCTAAGCAGGCTTGAGCCTGGATTGTCTTGGATGGGTGACCACCATGCACAGTGATTGTTATACATTGCTTTGCGGTCACGTGGTGAGCAGCAGTGGGCAGTGCAGGAAAATGCATTGCTATCTTGTACGTCTATGCTCCCCCATATATGCTCCCAACCTTCACCAACCTGCAATAACCAGCGTGGTGAAGTATATTCAAATAACCCCCACAGCATGTACAGTGTGGGTGGGCCTTTATCTAGCAGTGAATAGACAAAGGGTTGTACATGTGATTGGATAAGTGATGACCACTCACTAACCCCACTATGGTTTGCTTTCTGCAGTGTTTCCCACACGACCAGAAGTCCCTACCCTGGGGAGCAGGATGGAAAAGACTACCACTTTGTGACCAAGGAGACCTTTGAGAGGCTAGTCTGTGATGTAAGGCATTTGCTTACGTCATCACCAGTCTAAAAATATTACAGCCAAATGTGTTCATATTACGTGTGAAATTATCAGTTTGGAATGGTGTTGTGCTGAAAGTGTTGATGATTCTAGATTTGAAGCTTTCGTGACTGCAAGGATTCATACTCTTTGTTTTTTTCGGTAAAGTCACGTAGGTAAAATAAAATAAAAGAAAATAACTAAATTAACAGTCACAGCAGAATAGCTGTCTTGGTACAGCTATTCTGCTGTGACTGTTCCACCTGAAGACGGAAGCTTGTGTTGCCTCCATAACGTCGTGATTTAATTTAGTTGTTTTATTTTATTTTACCTACGTGACTTTACCGAAAAAAACAAAGTGTAGTGTTAATGATATTCTATTAACTAGAGTACATTTTTAGTTGGGTGTGTAGTTAAGGGGTCAGTACTCAGCTGTTACTGCTGAGATCCTGGGTTTGAATCTGGGCAGACATAAAGGTCATTAAACTGGGTTATTAAATGTAGTGAATTAGTTGGTCTCAGCCCAATCACTAATGAGGGCACGAAAAAAACCCATCGCATTAAATGTAGTTTTTTTTACTTGAGTTGGTCGGAGGCCGTCGCCTCTCAACTGCTCATAAATAATGTTCTCGTATCTCAGCAACACTCCACGCTTGCCATGCCCCACCATGCCACGCCATGCCCTGCCATGCCACGCCATGCCCCAGGAACTTATGTTGATTCTTTTGGAACTTTGATCGCAGGGAAAGTTTCTGCAAACAGAGAAGTACGACGGGCACAGCTACGGTTTGAGCATCGACGATGTTGAAGATCTTGCCAGGGATGGGCTGGCGTGTGCCGTGCACATGGAGCTGGAGGTATGGACCAGGTAGTTGCGTTGCTTTTACCCGTGGTGGGTTCACTGCTGTTGACAGATCCGGAAAATACATCAGAATCATCTTAACAGCCTGTCACATAAAAAAACACGTGAAGTTAAGTTGCTGTATTTGTAGTGTGTGTACAAATACTAAACTAAACTATTTTTATTTTACTAGATAAGGTCCACTGAGATATATCGCTCTTTTTCATAAGTGACCTGGCCACACATGATAGCTCAACAAAGTGGCTTATCATGTGGAAATGTATAGCAGCCAAATACTCTAAATGCAAGTTGATTCTAAATGTGGAAGGAAAAATCGGAGGACCCGGAGAAAAATCCACATAACCATGGGGAGAGACATGCAATCTCCACATATACAGGCATCAGGGTTGGGATCGATCCCACGACCTCATGCCAGGCAAGGGAGTCAACATCTCGCAATTGTGGCGTGGAGTGGTGGCGCAGTCGATATCACACTGCACCATGAGCTCGGTGACTGCAGTTTGATTCCCAGCCATGGCTAACATCAGTGGCGAGTGTATCTGAACCCAGACCCCGGGCCATCCCGTATTCACCAACCCGTATTCAGTGCCTTAGAGTGATAATAGTATGTTCAAACAACCCACTTTCATCCAGCAGTGAATTGATATCTGGATAAAAGCGCACATAATATATGCACAGTTCTCAAACAAGCAACACATGCGACTTCTGATACAAGCAGACTACTACGGATAAAGGCTCAGCTGGTCTTGCTCCCAAGTGAGTGATTACATTCAGCTTTTACTCTCTGATTATTAGCAGCTGTTTAGCAGTCGAATGACATGATGATGGATAGGAATGCGTTGCGGCCCATGCAGGGAGCGCGTAGCCTCAAGCGGACGTACTTCGAGCCTCGCTACTTGCTGGTCGTGCCCCTGGACCGGAAGCGCCACGAGAGGCGGCTGCTCAAGCGTGGACTCTACGACAAGTCCCAGATGGAGGCGTCGCTCGCCGGCCTGGACGCTTGCCTCGCCGTCAACCAGGATATGCCAGGCTTCTTCGACGCAGTCATCGTCTCAGGTGACAGCTACGTACGGTGCAAAAGAAGTTCAAAGTGCGTACATAGCATACGGAGGGCACCTTGTGCCTTGTGGTGTTTGTTTTGCTGTTAGTGTTCGTTTTACTCCGGGAAATGTTTGGTAAGTAACGAGCCGTTAATCCAAAACACTTCTCTTCCTGCTTATCCCCTTGCACTGCTTGACTTGGGAATTCCCTCTCGTCGTCTATTTTCGCAAGCTCTCATAACCTTGCTCAATTCAAGAAACATGATGACCCCTATCTAGTACATATTTGATATTCTTGTTTGTTGCTGGCCATTTGACCATTTGGGCCTATTGGGTCTTTGTTCAAATAGTGTGGAGGGCTTGGGTCCGTTGCATTGATTCGCGTTCAAGTTTCAAGTTTTTAAGTTTCATTTATTAGGTATAGCCATGTGAGCCATGCGGCTCTTAAGTTAGGTGCAACCGCAACAAACAAAATTTGAACACAGAACATCTTAAAGCGACAACGCGTAACAGAAACATCCTGGAATAAACCAGCAAATATTCCACACACAAAAAAACGTATTAAAACGCTGTGTGCAAAAATCACAATGTGGTGCAAGCCAACAACAACAACCATAAGACAATTTAGATTAACCATATGTTTTCGAATCACCAAAATAAAGCTATAAACACAATGTAACAACAGTAATCATAGGAACTGTGATTTTAAATTTAACAATAAACGATATACATAACACGTACGACAAAACCTGCAGCCATAGCTGGCAGCACGACACTCCCAGTGTATGATGTGTGAGTGAGTCAGCAGCAGCGTGAGTGAGTGTATGATGTGTGATGCAGCGTATGATGAGTGAGTCAGTAGTAGCTTGAGTGAGTGTATGATGTGTGAGTCAGCGCACGATGTGTTAGTCAGCGGATGATGAGTGAGTCAGTGTATGATGTGTGAGCGAGTCAGCGGCAGTGTGAGTGAGTGTGTGATGTGCGAGTGAGCCAGCACACGATGAGTGAACCTGTGTATGATGAGTGAATGGGTCAGTGGTTGTGCGAGTGTATGATGTGTGAGTAAGCGCATGATGAGCAAGTCAGTGCATGATGTGTGAGTGAGTCAGTATATGATGTGTGAGAAAGTCAGTGTCAGCTCCCTCTGCTAGCGCCGTCGGCCAACCCCTCGGCTCCGTCGCCCCCCCCCCCCCCCGGCTCCGTCGCCCCCCCCATTGAGCTCTGCTTATGGCCTTGTTCCAAATTTTACTGATGCTAGTCGGCCCACACTCTGTACGTTTGGATGATAGGTGGCCACAATTGTTGTTGTTGTTCATTTACTCTGAGAGTATTTCATTATGCAAAATACATCCATCCATCGGTTTGCTTGGACAGCACAGGTCCATTGCATTGATCTATGATGACCTGATCTGCATATGGCCTTTTCCCATGTTTCCTTGACAGTAGCAGTTGCGGAGTCACTGACGATTTGATGGATTCACGATAGGTGAAGGCGACCGCGATGTCTCTGACGGGTCATTGAGAGACGTCTGCCTGACGAGACATCGGTGGAGATCTTTCGAGCTTTAAGATGTCGCTGCTGAACCTCAGGGCTTTATGAACAGTTTTGATATGTCCAAGTGCGATGTGTCCGAAGAGTACAAGTTGTGTCCGATTTACGCAAAAAGTAAAGTACAAAATTATTTTTTCAGAGAACACTTGTTAGCATCAACATGATGCATTTTATATTTCTTCACATCGTCACCCTCTCGTCCCAGCATCCCACAAGCTGCTGAATTCCGGCAGCATGGAGGTATTGCGATTTGTCTCTAAGAAATGACCATACCACTGCTCTCACAGCCTCGTTACTGTTGAACCACCTTTCTCATGTTCCTGGATTGCATTGCCACAGATGACCTGGAGGTGGCCTACTCCAAGCTGCGTGAGCTCATGTGCCAGTACATGGGTCTGGAGCCACCCAAGTCAGGGGCCGAGTCAGCGCACCAGGACGCGGGTCACGTCGTGCCGCCTCGCCTCTGCAGCACGGGCGACCGACCGACCTCCGCCACTCTCTCGCGTCTCACATGGACCAAAGCCCCATCGCCCCAGCCGCGCGAGAACATGCAGTACCTGTCCAGGCTGCAGTCCAAGATGCAGCCCCAGCTCACGCCTTTGGTACCGCCCGACGCGTAGAGTGAGATGGGCGCCAGTTGAGGAATTTGACAAAGAAGGCCACATCGCGCTAGCCCAGCTTCCGCTCGGTTCTCATTTATGGTGGAGAGTCAAAAGTACATTGGTGCTCTAAAGTATGGACAGTTGAAAATACAAAATTATCGTGGTGAAATATTTGTAACCTAATGTAATCTAAGCATACAGAATGTACTCTTTGTTTTTTTTTTTTTTCGGTAAAGTCACGTCGGTAAAGTAAATGAAAATAACTAAATTAAATCACGACGTTTCGGAGGCAACACAAGCTTCCGTCTGCAGGTGGAAACCGTCACAGCAATATTGCTGTATCAAGTGAAGAGAGCTCTAAGATACCCGAGATTATATAAAGGTTAAGGGGGGGCGGGAGCCAGGAAGGGCCGTGGGGGGGGGCTAAGTTAGGCCGCCTTTTGTTATGCTGCAGGGGGTTAGGGGGACGGAGAGGCGATGGCGAGCAGTGATCGAAAACGAGCACAACCAACTGGAAGAAATGGAAATGGCTGTGCAATTATAAGGCAGCTAAAGTTTGACTTGGTTGATGACATCTTTCTACATACAGAATATAGACCGTTAAAAACTGTTTTCTCCACTTTAAAATGTTGAATCTATTTGTCAGACTTGATTCATTCTTGTGTGTTTGTTTCTCCACTCATATGCCAGCAGTACCTATTTTCTGGACTTGTAATAAGGCCCTCATCCAGCAGTGGATTAGCAAAGGCCTTTAGTTGTAGCAATTCATTCCCTCCAGCTGTGATTTAATGAATTGCCATGGTTCGTGGTCATGATTCATTTCAAGAATATAATTTTTTTGTCTTGTATTTTTCGTCTCGTTTGTATTGTTTCACTTTCTTGCGTCTTGATCTCCCTCCTAAACCAGATTTTTGGATTCCTATTATTTTTTTTATTGTACAATGTTACGTATGTGTTTGTACATCCAGAAATAAATCTAGAACCAAATCACCCGGAATGCACCTCATTTCGCCAGATCTTAGAAGCTAAGCAGGGTTAGTAATTTGATGGTTGACCACGTTATATTAAATAGGTGTTGTAGCCTGTTATGGGACTACGTTGTAGGCAGCGTATGGCAGTGCAGAAAAATTCATGCTTGTACTGTACTTCGATGCTCCCCACCTTTAACCTACATTGACCAGCGTGGTGAAGTATGGTCAAATAACCCTCATGGCCTGCGCGGTTTAGGGAGGGCCCTCATCCAGCAGCGTGTTCACAAAAAGGCTGAACATACGTGCAAAAATACCAGGTTCAGCTGTGTAACCTGGTGATGATATTTGTCCATTCTGTTTGCAGGAGGAGGCATCTCTCCTGGTTCGCCAACAGGCAGCACGCGACGCTGTAACAGGAAAGGCTCTCAGTGCCAACTCCAAGCTCCTGGGCAGGTGCGCTCTGAGGCTTTGTCATTCACAAGTTTACATCCATAAATAGTATCCGCTCAGCTAAACGGACATTGTTTAATATAATTCAGATATGATTTAGATACAGAAAATCTACACGAGCTCTCTACTGAAGCCCTCTCATGAGAAGCAGACCTCGAACAGTGGTATGTAGTTCCTGAACACATTGCCATACGCAAGAAGAAGAATCCGCTCGTAAAAATATCTCCACAAGCCCTCTTGAGCTACGGATTCGTGCCCGCGTATGGATTACTCTGTGGGATTTGTAGTTGTACTTGGCAGACAGTTTTACATTTGTAAGATGTGTTGTAGATATATATTATATACTTTATAATTTACTATTAAGGTTGAAAGTGTTTATGCATTTGCTCTTTCTGCCTGTTTGTCCATAATGGAGAGTGCGGGCATGATAACTCGTAAAAGCTGAACCATTGTGTTCCATTCCTCTATAATATAATTGTAGTGCTTTTCGGGACTTGCCTTGTTGACAACTGGCCAACTGGATCAAATGACTTCCCAAAACCAGTATTTAAATAGCAAGACAGAACTTATCTTGCTATTTAAATACATCCGAATACAAATTAATGTTGGAAGGCGTTACAAAATTCGTGCGTGTGCATTATCTTTCATTAGTTTTTAATTCCTAGATTGAGCACGTGCCTTTCCGTGCATATATACTCTGCTGGACTCTGACCACAAACCTTGACAGTTCATCAAAATACTGCACCAAGCTAACGACGGTGGGGGGTGGGGGGGAGGGGTTTGCGGATTTGAATTGTTACGTGGATTGTTTTAAAGTTGCTCAATAAATGATGTTTCTCTATGAATGCATTCACATTTGAGGTTGTAATTTAGCTAATGACGATGCACGATTGTGGCAAACGTGCAGTGGTCCCAAGTCAGCACCTGCCACACTGTTGGCTGCCAACACTGGCTCTCGTTCTGCCAACCACACCGACGGTGCGAACACAGGCAAAAGGTAACGTTCCAGCGGGGCCACATGTCCACACCCATGATCTGTGTGTCACCTCTTATGTGTAAATGTACAGCTCTTTTGTCGATCCACTGCTGGTATGAAGGCGGCCTCCTCATGCTGTCTGGGTACTGTGGGATATGGACCACGCTTCACGCTGGTCTGTGCGGGTTGGTGATCATGTAGGCATAGAGCATGGCATAGTAAGGCAAAGATATCTTGCTGCACTTCTGTCTGCTGACAACGTAGCCTAACAGCAGCTTATAACGGCAGCTGTGTGCTTGTTGGTCACCAATCGAACCACTATCTAGGCTCAATTTTGCTCAGCTTCCGAGATCTGATGAGATCGGCACATTCTGGGTGAGTTGTTCATAAGTTTAACATGGAGGCTTTCGCGACCAATATTATCCATAATAGAGTTTTTTTGGATTAGATTGCGTAAATATAAATGGCCATAAGCCCTGCTCAATCATTCTATCCTAAATATGTTGATATTATAACAGAAGATGCAATCCAAAGTCTGAATCACTCTAAACCGAGAGTTCCCAACCTTGGCTGTTTGTCCTGGGCTGTCTTGTCACATGTGTCATTATGGCACTGGTGACATCAGTGCAAGATTGCTGTCACACATGCCATGACAACAGCAATTGAGTGGCATCACAAGTACGCTTGCAGTGAAGCAATTCACTAACTTTAACGTGTATATTCTCAGCCTGGGATACATCATAGGTACATTTCTACGTTGCATTTTTTAATACTAGGAGGGTCCTACATTGTGAAGTTGGTGTAACGATTTTTGGGCGTGGCTACCGAAGTAGTGGGCGGGTATATCTAGGGAGTAGCGCCACGACCTGAGGAGTATGTGGGATCAATGTCAGAAAGAGTGGTGGGCCACTTTCTGTGTGGGTGGGGCTAGTGGATGAGTGGGTGTCGCTATGTAAAAGTGGGCAGGGCTGACAGAGGGAGGGGCTTCCAGCTCACGGCATGTCCCAAGTGAGCCTGCCAGACATTGTCTTAGCAAGAATCTACAATTGAATGAAGAGTACAATAATAGGCTCCCTTTCTGACTTATTGTCCCTACGTCGCACTCGCAAGGCCTCTGGGGTCTCAGGTGAGCCTCGGCTCCACGGAGCTGTCGTTGGCCAGAGCCCTGTCGGACGGCGTGTCGGATGAGTGGACGGCCTCGCTCTCGGGCCGCGGTGAAGGCGACTTGGACGCCGCCGATGAAGATGGCGAGGACGACGATGACTGCGGGGATGGCGACGGTCTGACCCTGCAGCGTGGTGGGGATGGACAGGTGGAATCGCTGGACGTGAGGGCTCTGAGCCGTTCGGACCGCAGCCTCACAGGTACGTGTTTGTGAGCGAGGACCAGGACGCGTGTCTTGTACGTTCACTCGTGTTCTCGGCTACCTTTCAGCTTTTTTTACATTTTGTCAATGGCCATGTTTAATTTTTTTTAAATCAGATCTGTCCATAGCAAGCAACAAAATGTATTCATCTTTGGGGAGACACGTTTTGATTGTGTAATTTATAAAATGTACTTTTGGCAGGAAAGTCACTTAGGCTATTTCTCGTTGTGTATATGTGTACATGTACATCCATTTTATAAATCCACTTTTGGATGAGGGCATTCATATGCTGTGTATCATTGTGGCTGTTAGGTCATACTTCACGCTGGGCAGTGACGATTGACGAATGCAGATATAGGATTTGGAACAGAGCACAGTAACAATGGTTATTGCTACACTGCCCTCTGCTGCTCACTATATAGCCCTGCTCAGCTTGTTTGTGCGTGGTGGTTGTCCATCCTTTCACTATCCAAGCACAACCCTGCCTAGCTTCCGAGTTCTGACAAGATCAGGCGCATTCCAGTTGATCTGGTCATAGGACTTCAAGTATAGATGCAACGTATAAAGATGTTTCCGTATCGTAAATTTTCCTTTGCGGCAGTTGAAAAAATGCAGTATTCTTAAATCCCCCGCCTCTATCCATCCAGCAGTATAAAGGGTTGGACCAGTTAGTTGATCGGCAGGTCACGTATGGTGGGGTAGGATGGGGATGGTTTAGTTTGATTTGTGTTTGGGTGATTTCGATTTAAAGCTTTCGTGACTGCAATGATTCATCTTCTTTGGTTCTTTCGGTAAAGTCACGTAGAATGATAATAAAATAATAAATTGATAAAATAAAATAACACAATAATATTCTCACGACGTTTCGGCCACAACACAAGCGGCCTTCATCAGGTGAAGGGGGTGAGACTGTCTGGTAGGACAGCGCTGTTTTATCAATTTATTATTTTATTATCATTCTACGTGACTTTACCGAAAGAACCAAAGAAGATGTTTGGGTAATGTTTACCTTTCTTGTACTTTGCACGATCATGTTTGTGTAATGTTTGTTGTAACGTTCTTACCTGCCCCTACTAGACATCTGTTAAAGAGCTTTATAGCTCATTGGATTCCTCCAGTATAAATACATATTCTGATTGTGTTCCCATCTTTCCCAATGTCTGACCAGTGAGGAAGTGTCAGTTACCATCTAAAGTGGGCTCTTTCGACGAGGCCTTTCTGCCAGGAGTGGCATGAACAAGAAATTGTAGGGTTGCACTTTCAAACCTTTATAAAAAATATAGCCCAAGTTAATTCCGCTCGACGCACCTGTTTTTTGACTCGATTGCCCGCTTCCCCCACTTGAACCACGCCGCCCGACAGAGTCAGAAGCCGGACCGCTGGCCCCCCGGCCTCGCCCCAGCGAGGTGGTGGAGGCGCTGCGCGCACCGCGCGAGCCCGAGGCGCCCCCCTCACCCAAACCTGTGCTGCCGCCCATCCCGGCCGGCCGTGTTAAAGAGGGCGGCAACGCGTCTCCACAATAAAATGAACTTTTATTTTACTTTAACAGGTAAGGCCCCACTGAGCTATACATAGCTCTTTTTCAGAAGTGACTTGCCCACTAATGATATCTCAACAAAGTGGCTTATCATCACGTGGACGCACCCCCCCCCCCCCCCCCCCCCCCCGTCACTCACGCTCACATTGATTGCTGATTTGAAGCGTGGAATCCAGTCTGCAGGTGAGATGGTGCATCTCGCAAACTTATGGTTTGGCACGATAGTGAGGATTTTGTTGAGAGTTTACATGGTCGTAGTGTTATTACTGGAAAGAGTGCCTGGATAGGTGGTGTGACACACTTGTAGAGTCGTCGCCACTGTTTGTGTACAATGTACATCCCTGTTGTCATTACACTGTTCGATGAGGGCCTCCCCACACCATACGTGCCATGGCAATTATTTGACCATATTTCACCACACTGGCCAGTGCAGCTTGGTGAAGGCAGCGCACACAGATGTGGGAGCATAATACAGTCCAATGGATTTTAGCGCATTCACCTCTGCTTCTCACAACGTAGCTCTGCAGCAGTCTAAAACACAACTATTTTATTTATGTTGCCGACCAATCCATGCACTCTCCAGGAATAAACCTGCTTCACTTGAGATGACATCGGGCCCATTCCAGGTGATTTGCTTATTGGCCTTCGAGCACTATCATTAGTTATCAATCAGGCACGTAGCGATGCTTCATTAATTCAATTAGATTCTTGCCCTCAGGATACATGCATTGTGCATGTAAAAATATATTATTTTAAATTCCCACATGCTTTATATCTGTGTTTATGTGACTGTTTAATGCACTTGAGGAATGGAAAAAAAGACTTGCATCGAATAGGGATGTCAGATTGTGACAGTTCATGGAATCGTGCGGGGTGATGATTCATCGCATGCCTATCATCGTCACCGTCATTAAGATTAACTTACCAGCATAATCAAGCTTCATTGTTAGCGATGGTTAACAGTGAATCTGAGCAACTTGAGGCTTTCGTTTTTTAGTATTTGTGCACAAGCAGTACAGTCCATTATTAAAGAATACCATTCGTAATGTATATTAGACTTGATATTTATTCACTCATAAATTAGAATACAGACTAATATACCCTGAACTTTTTGACGGTCATTAAACTATATCAGTCTCATTGTTCTCAGGCTTTTGGGGGAAGCACACTTACGCGTGAACTTTATTACACGTGTGCTTTGCACCACATAGACAGTTACACATAGCCAGTGACCATTGTTAGGCCATCGCGGGCAGAGATTAGGAATCAATCGGATGTAAATCGCTGGACAATGCTGGCAAGGACTGCAGGATTCAGTATAAAATGACGACCTCTTCACCAAACATTTCAGCATACAAACACTGCATTCCAGTTCAAGCAATAGTATGTGCACATCATAGGTATAAAAGTACATCATGACTTGACAATTGGCGATGAGATACAGCCTTACAATAATCACCCGGACGGACACACAATATCACAATTTTGAAAAGTTTATGGGCACAGATTGAAGTCACACTTGATGTAACAAATACATACAAGCTAGTCTGTCATTGTGTACAAATAAAAGCGTGTTTTTAGGAGATTGTTCTTGCCGCAAGAGCCTTGAAGTGCATGGTAGTTGGTCTATCGTCATTGATGTTCCTTGACTTTAAACCAGGCCCCGAAGACTTAAGTCTTGCGCTCCTTTACTTGCACGCAACACTGTCACTCCAAAATCATGTTAACTGTGGGAACGTGCAAGTCACTGGGAGCCAGGACCTGGGGTGCAACGGATGTTTTAGATTCCTCTGAATTTCTTTGGATGTTTCCATATTATTCTGGATTTTTTTGTAATTAAGTTCAGTTAAAACAATCAAAATACCTTGGCAAACGGAAGTGAAAATCAGTTTTAATAAAAAAATCAAGTTTTAATTAAAAAAAAAGTGAAAACGCATTTGCCGAACATGCAAACATATAGTCAGTGCGTATGTGAAAGACTATATACACGCTAAGGTTTCTGCCCATGGTGGATACAAACAGAATTTGCCACCTCAGGTGGTACCGACCAAGCCCTCGGCTCATGCACTAACAAAAGTGCACACCCGCAAACGCAGGCAACAGAAAGTGCACAACCCTGTGGGTGTACGAGAGAACTTGGCCTCGTATGGCAATGACCCTTGACCTTGCCGCTCGTGATGGTAATGATATCTCCCAAGAACACAGAGTTTCACTTGGATGATCCTGGCTGTGCGAAGTTCAAGTTGCATTGTGCGGTCCCGACGACAGTTAATACCAGCAAGTTGGTAAGGATTGTAACAGACTCAAAGTTAATGGGAAGCAAAGTATATTAACACATTCCAATTATGCATTCTTATTCCGCACGCAAGATATGTGCACAAGAACTCTTTAATGCGTATAATTGTACTTAATAATCTAAAATAAACTTTTTTGTGTGCAGTAAGCAGCGTTATCAAGTATTTTTTTCCTATCTTAAATAATGATGCAACCCATAGAAACAAAACAAATAGCTCTAGTAAAGGGGGACCTATGCTGTGCCTTCAGCTATCTGACATGAGTTTGATGCTTCATTAGTGAAGCAAAAAAACATTTACAATTTTGAGTCACATGTACGAGGAAATACATGAGTGAAGCCACGGTAACATCACTGGAGCGTGCACGATTGGCACCTTGAATGCTTTTTTATTATTACGACTTAAAACTCACCATGGACTGCAACACAGACCAGTTAAGTATAACTTGGTTTTAAATTTAATTCATATTTACTTTTTTGTTCAAATGGTTGCACAAGTGACAGTCCTTGGTGTCCAGTGACCAACCCATGCTGACCAGCGTGGTGAAGTATAATCAATGAAGCCCTATAACCAATGCGGCGTGGGGAGGCCTTCATCCAGCAATAGCTTTATTAATGGGTTTAAATTACTTAAAGTGCCATTTTTCTGATTAAAAGTGATTTTAAAAACAATAGATGTCCTTCCAAAGCACGTATTCTACTCGTAAACACAGTAAAACATATTTACACCCTTTATATTGTTGAAAACATTAATTTCGAATGCACTGAATATACCTTAAATCTAAATCGTGTATGCATGACTAATTGCATCAAATTCCAAACCGCTCTTTATCAGGATGCAACTGTAAAAACAACATGGGATATCACAGCTCACAAGCCAGTCAGATTGTTAAAGGGAAACAATTGGGTTACGGAAATCAAAGACTCTAAATTTACACGATTTTTTTTTTAATTAGTGGAGCCATTTCTCCTTAATGGCAATCAATTTTACAACAGCTATTTCAGTTTTTGGATTGTAATCTTTCCTTCAATGCGAACTGCTCACAATGTATGCCCCCCTCCCACAGCGGAAGATATATTTAGATTGGAAAAATCTGATGAGCTATGAAGCTCATTTTCACATGTTCAGTATGGGCGGGCCTCTTACTTTCACATCCTTTTCAATGCCCCCCATGGCGGGGAGGGGCCGGGAGGCCAGGGGGGTGGGGGGAGCTGCCACCTGTGAGCCTTACCGCGGCCTCTACTGCCCCTTCTTCTGCTTCTCTGGCACTGGCGCTTTGGCGGGGGTCGACGTGTAGATGTAGAGCAGTGTTCCCAGGAAGGTGACGCCGGTGCCCAGCCAGTGCCACGTCGTGAAGGCGTTCTTAAAGATGAGGATGGACAGGATGAGGCTGATAAACTTGCGGAGCGTCACCACCAGCGTGACGGTGAGGGACGCGCACTCCGTGGTGAGCACGAACACCGCGCGGATGCACACGTACCTGCGAAGGGGACGCTTAAGGAAAGCGTACGTGCTTAAAGGGCCTGCCAGATTTACGCAGCAGAACGTCCGTGTAAAAGGTGGACTTGAAGGCAAATGGGGGGACTATAGGGGGATAAATAGGCTGAGAGCATAGGTTGGGGCAACCAATATAACAAGAGCAGCCATTTTTTTCAAATTTGGTCCAAAAAAAACTGCATTCAAAAAGACGCAATGCACGTGAAGACGAGACGGCGGTCCTTAATAAATAACGTCACGAAGCAGCAGTCCCTAAAGACTCCGGAGCCGCAGGTTGCCGACCCCTGGCTTAGCGCTACCGATTTACTGGAGTACAGAGCTATTGCACCCACATAGTTGAAATCAGTGGCGTAGCTATTTCAGTGTGAAGGCAGTGCAACTGCACCAGAGGCCGGAAGGGACCCAAGCTGCCACTCTGTGAAGATGGGGGGGGGGGGGGGGCGAAATGACAAAGGATACTGGGTGATGATGTTGACCAGCAGCATCAGCCACATCTCCGGCACGGCCAGGTCCAGCCAAGGCAGCGCCACTGGCGCTGATGTTCAGACACAACATGGAAGTGGCGAAGAGAGAACACGTCAACTCGCGTGGTTGTTCGGTTTTCATTTTGCCAAAACCTTGAGCAACTCCTGGCCAGCTAGGGCTTACCCGATTGGCTAAAGAGCACCCCTTGGTTGTAAATGTCCTTTGCCAGCAGCAAGAAACCTGGTAGTGGCAAAGCGTGCTGGGGAGAGAAACAAAATACCAAAATCCATTATGTCTTAGCTGTTGGACGCTTTTAATAAACGCTAAACCGTAGTGTGCAACAGGAATTGACTAAGCACAGTTGGTGTAAAAATTATTTGATTAAATTTCCTGTACACTGAGTCATACAGTAAAGCTGCCTAGAGGTTTCTATGTGCAAACAAACCTAGTGGGTTTTAAATAAAAGCATATTACAAATATAGCTCACTTGAGGGGCTGTGCTCGAGTTTCCTAGAGTCAATTTCATAGCATCCAATAAACTGTACAGAAACCCAATACAGCACACTTCATAGTACACCCCTTCATTTATGAGACCACTGATGCTTGGATACGCAGCATTTGGACTTGGGGAGTCTACACGATAAAAGGAGGCACTTTTGAACCTTTACCCAGCTTATTTTTTATACCATTTTTTTTATTACCAACCAACATATCACAGAATTAAAAAAACCCCAGCCATTTATACAAAAGGTTAACAAATACCCTGGCGTGAAACGATAATCACGGCAACTTTGTCATAAATCTATTGATAGAGCAGCTGTATAGCACCAGTGAGAGGGGACGGTGGGGGGGATAAGGCCCACAGTGGTGAACCTTGAACTCAAGAGACAGTCACACAAAACCACTAAGAGGTTCATACCAAACCACTAGAATCCAGGGCCTAGCCAGCCATCAAACACCTGAAGAACAATCACAACAAGCTAGCAAGCCAGTCCATAAAGGGAGGCTTCCCCTTCTGTCAAGAGATTTGAGTGCACTCAGAAGTGTGTTCACACAAACACGTGTAAGAATGGCTGTTTTAATTTAAGTATTTAATTGCCAAATTTTGCCCAAAAGCGATGCAGAACTGGGAAATGGCATTCGAGAGTTGTGTGGTAAGTTCCGCAGTGACTGATTTAGGAGTTTTAAAAGTTTGTTTTGTCAAAACATGAAATGTCCGAGTACAGACCAAAGGACAGATTAATGGAGGGACCAAGTACTTCCCGGATATTTCCAATAAGTAATCTATTGGCTGCCTATAGAACGTGGAAATTGTAGCAGTGGCACATGTGAACAAGACACGCGAGGCCTTCACTCACATTGTAGAACAGGGCCTCGCGTGGGTGCTTGCCGAAGCGAGCGTACAATTCTTCCTGAAAAATGCCCATCCTCGCGGACATGAAGAGTGCAAACGTCAACATGCCGATTCCTGTGGAAGTAGCAGAACGAATTCCGAACGTTAGGTTCGTCTCCTGGTGACTGTGCAACAACGGCCATGGTGCCCTTCTTAAGACAAGACGTAGGCCAAAAAGAAGTTCACCATACATACATTTCAGATATATGTATCCTTATAACCTTGCTTAATAATAATAGGGTTTTTCCCCTTTTTTCTGGCAACAAAACTGAAACCTTTTTACAAGGATTCATGTCTGCATTAACCACAATACCTGCAGTCAAAATGCAAACAAAAAACATACTATGATAATATATGCATTGTCCTTGAAACTGATTGGTCCACACCAAGAGACGGCTTTCTTTTGAGCCTCGACCCAATTGGTGCTTGACCAGATGACGCCAAAAGGCGTCATCTGGTCAAGCACCAATTGTCATCTGGACCCAATTGAGCGAAGGCTCAAAAGAAAGGCGTCCCTTGGTGTGGACCAATCAGTTTCAAGGACAATGCATATATTATCAAAGTATGTTTTTTGTTTGCAGTATTGTGGTTAATGCATGCATGAATCCTTGTAAAAAGGTTTCAGTTTTGTTTCCAGAAAAAAGGGGGAAAACCCTATTATTATATTTTGGTACTGGCAAAGGAGCTCTAATGATGTAGAAACCTTGCTTAATTCAAGAATATTGTTTAACGCTTATCTGTCACAACTTTAATTGTACTTTTATGTTGCCGGCTGCTTGACAATTTGGGCCCGAGGGCCTGTGCTTATCCACTGTGTATAGATAAATACAGGCTGTCCGACACGAGTTTTAAACTCTTGTTAATGAGAAATTGACTTTTGAGGCATGCGCTCTCTCGTAACGATCACAGCAGTGCGACCGTTGCGATCATCACATGGCAGCGACAGTGGTTGCACCTTCGTGACCATTAAACAATTTATCTTTAACAAACCTCCAAACTCGTATTGGACTTGCCTGAAACACACAGCCCAGGTACGTATATAAAAAAAAGCACAAATTGTTTTTTTTAGTTGGCACGTTGGCGAGATGTTGACTCCCTCGCCTGGTATGCAGGTCGTGGGTTCGATCCCGACCCTAACATCTGTATATTTGGAGTTTGCATATATATATGCTCCCCGTGGCCGCATGGATTTTTCTTCAGGTCTTCCAGTTTTTCCCTCTACATTTATAAACATGCATTTCGAGTGTTTGGCTGCTATACATTTCCACGTGATAAGCCACTTCGTTGAGCTATCATTTGTGGCCAAGTCGCTTCTGATAAAGAGCTATGTAGCTCAGTGGGCCTTACCTGGTAAAATACAAATATAGTTTAAATAAAACTCGTTATTTATGGGCTGAATACCCATCCTAAACTATTCTCTTAAAAGTGGCAAATTTATCATGTAATCTAATAGTAAGAATATTACTATTAATAGTAATAATCTTACTATTATTACTATTATTAATAGTAATACTTAATAACAACACATTATTTATGCAGCAAAATGTCACCGAGTGAACTTTTTCCAGAGACTCCTGCATTGGGATATTTAGCCAATCCCATTTGTGAGTGGCTGCATGCGAGGGAAAACCACGCATTTGTGGGGAAAACACACAAAGCTTGGCACAGATGGATTCCAGAATCCACTGCAGTACTGCCATCTCCTAGCCACCTCAAAGCCCAAGCCTACCACACTCGGTATTATCGGGCAGTCTACCATCCAAGTACTAACCAGGTTGAACCCTGTATAGCTTCTGACATTGGATGAGATTGGGCACAATCAGAGCATTTTGGTTATACAAAGGGTATCTCTGTGGTGAAATCTGGATAAAAATCATATGGACGCTCATAACAGATCGTCATCGGATATGGAAACGTACCAATAAGCCAGGTGATGATGGCATAAACACCATCGTCCTTAGCAGCATTGTAGTCCGATGCCTGAAAATAAAATAAATAAAAAAACATTGCACATTCATTTAATACAGAACCGGCACATGTCATATGCCAATTTAGGTATTTTGTTGCTAATAAGTGTAAAAATAGCAATTAGCTTATTACAACATAAAAAAGTTGAAGTGGTTTCCCATTCACGATATAATGGGTTGGCAGTGATCATTGCACTGTTACAAGCCCTGAGCCCAGTATCAGAATATATATTTATACTGGAGGAATCCGATGTGCTATAAAGGTTTTTTCCACAGATGTCCAGTAAAGAGCAGGTTACTCAGACAACCGCTGCTGACTTCCCACTAAGCGGTACCAATTTATCGACCCCGGAAGAAAAAAGACGACAGGTTGAATCAAACCCCCGCCTTCCCCGACTCAGACTTCAACTCGCAAACTGTCCCCTTGCGAGCCGTACACTCTAACAGAAAACAACCCACCACTTGCTTCGCCGACATGAACGTGCAGATGAAAATTCCAAGCGAGACCAGCACAATGGAGAGGTACTTGGGCAGCGTGTACCTGCCAAAGATGCGTACAAAAAAACATGACGTCTCGTGAATAATATTCGGCACAATTCTAGGACACTGCAACCTTCAGCAGCGAGGGGAAATGCCAAGTGCACTCAGACCAGCCCTACCTTTTCTTGAGAATAATGATTCCGAGAACCATGTTGGCGATGAGTGACCCCTGTGCGGGTGAAAGAACACAATTTAGGAAATGTAACGCATACACGCAGGATAATGTAAACCTTTCCGATAACACGTGGGTGACTTGAAAGCTCAACGGGTAAGCTTTCTGGGCAAAAAAGCTGCTACGGCAAAACGTGTTTGCAAAGTCTCAAATACCGTTGGTCCTTTTAGCGTTGTTTTGGCTCTCCCAAGTTTTGGGCAACACCTTGATCAAATAGGCCAGTTAAAGTCAACACAACTCTATAAGTACGTTTGATTTATACTGGATCATCTTTGCAAGAGTCATTATGGCCCTCCCACCCATTCTGCATAGACGGAGCTTCCAGGAGCTTCCAACCTTAGAAAGCGTTAAAACAACAGAACATCACTATGTTTAGCAACCCAGTGTGAAATTAATAAGGTCTTCACATGTTCTGGATTAATAAGCAAGATGTGATCGTGCAGAGGATTGGAGGTGGTGGCATCCGAGAAGAAAAATCCACGCGATCACGGGGAAAATAGCAAACTCCAAATATATACAGTGAGGGAAAAAAGTATTTGATCCCCTGCTGATTTTGTACGTTTGCCCACTGACAAAGAAATGATCAGTCTATAATTTTAATGGTAGGTTTATTTGAACAGTGAGAGACAGAATAACAACAAAATCCAGAAAAACGCATGTCAAAAATGTTATAAATTGATTTGCATTTTAATGAGGGAAATAAGTATTTGACCCCTCTGTGAAACATGACTTAGTACTTGGTGGGAAAACCCTTGTTGGCAATCACAGAGGTCAGACGTTTCTTGTAGTTGGCCACCAGGTTTGCACACATCTCAGGAGGGATTTTGTCCCACTCCTCTTTACAGATCTTCTCCAAGTCATTAAGGTTTCGAGGCTGACGTTTGGCAACTCGAACCTTCAGTTCCCTCCACAAATTTTCTATGGGATTAAGGTCTGGAGACTGGCTAGGCCACTCCAGGGCCTTAATGTGCTTCTTCTTGAGCCACTCCTTTGTTGCCTTGGCCGTGTGTTTTGGGTCATTGTCATGCTGGAATACCCATCCATGACCCATTATCAATGCCCTGGCTGAGGGAAGGAGGTTCTCACCCAAGATTTGACGGTACATGGCCCCGTCCATCGTCCTTTTGATGTGGTGAAGTTGTCCTGTCCCCTTAGCAGAAAAACACCCCCAAAGCATGTTTCCACTTCCATGTTTGACGGTGGGGATGGTGTTATTGGGGTCATAGGCAGCATTCCTCCTCCAAACACGGCGAGTTTAGTTGATGCCAAAGAGCTCCATTTTGGTCTCATCTGACCACAACACTTTCACCCAGTTGTCCTCTGAATCATTCAGATGTTCATTGGCAAACTTCAGACCGGCATGTATATGTGCTTTCTTGAGCAGGGGGACCTTGCGGGCGCTGCAGGGTTTCAGTCCTTCACGGCGTAGTGTGTTACCAAATGTTTTCTTGGTGACTATGGTCCCAGCTGCCTTGAGATCATTGACAAGATCCTCCCGTCTAGTTCTGGGCTGATTCCTCACCGTTCTCATGATCATTGCAACTCCACGAGGTGAGATCTTGCATGGAGCCCCAGGCTGAGGGAGATTGACAGTTCTTTTGTGTTTCTTCCATTTGCGAATAATTGCAGCAACTGTTGTCACCTTCTCACCAAGATGCTTGGAAATGGTCTTGTAGCCCATTCCAGCCTTGTGTAGGTCTACAATCTTGTCCCTGACATCCTTGGAGAGCTCTTTGGTCTTGGCCATGGTGGAGAGTTTGGAATCTGATTGATTGATTGCTTCTGTGGACAGGTGTCTTTTATACAGGTAACAAGCTGAGATTAGGAGCACTCCCTTTAAGAATGCTCCTAATCTCAGCTCGTTACCTGTATAAAAGACACCTGGGAGCCAGAAATCTTTCTGATTGAGAGGGGGTCAAATACTTATTTCCCTCATTAAAATGCAAATCAATTTATAACATTTTTGACATGCGTTTTTCTGGATTTTCTTGTTGTTATTCTGTCTCTCACTGTTCAAATAAACCTACCATTAAAATTATAGACTGACCATTTCTTTGTCAGTGGGCAAACTTATAAAATCAGCAGGGGATCAAATACTTTTTTTCCCACACTGTAGGAATCAAGGTCGGGATTGAACACAAAACCTCCTGTATACCGGGAGAGGTAGCGAACATCTCGCCACTGCGGTACCCCAAGTGAGGCTCTCTTGGATGATCAACAGACATAGCTGGTTTCACTATACCGATCGGAAGATCATGTGCAGCGGCATGGCGATGTTGAAGTTGAGGGCGTAGTTGTTGAGCACGCTCACGGCAAAGAACATTATCACCATAACGGTGTAGTGCCTGCACACGAGGACACAAGAGCACGACGAGTATTGATCTCCGCTGCATATGTGGGCCATGCCGCCGCTCCTCATGCCCTCTCGACGTCAACGACTGTGGTCATAGCACGGCGGTCCAGCCATATGCCACCGTTGCATATATCCGGTCGGTTGGCTCAGTGGTAGAGCGAATGGCTCGCAATCCTAAGGCTGCAAAAGTTCAAATCCTGTTTGGGGGTGGCGGGGGGGGCATTGACTTAGCCCATAATCCCAACTGGGGTCAATAAACATGAATTACACTTAGCGGGAAAGTCAACAGTGCTTGTCCTATGGATAGAATTGCCACCACCATAGGAATGTGGAATTTTCCTCACCAGCTTAGGGCTGTAAACAGAAGACGAGCACCACCTCAACGCCTCATTTTGATCCGGAAATCACTGACTTTGCAAGTGTCACGAGTGGCGGAGGTTATACACGGCACGGAGATTAAGCACGTGTAATTGAGCTGAGCGTATGAATGCTTGTGTGCGTAAAAATGTATTTAAAGGTGCAACCTGAAACAAAATGCACAGCTCTGATTGTTACACGGCAAGGCTGCGTGTCCTTTATAAGAAGGGCCTTAAATCAGTCAATCTGGCGCTCCGGTATGTATGTTGAACTTCTTTCGCACCGTACGTAACCGACCGTGCTAATTGGAGGTGCGGGGGGGGGAAGGACAAGAAACTTAACATAAAAAAGCAGTTTTAATCGCAAAAAGCAGGTTGTCGTGAATGGTCGTCATTATCAAGGTTTATTAAGTGTGCTCACGTGTCCCACCCGCCCTGAAATACCTGATGGGAATCACCGGCTTCTTCTTCCCAAACTTCATCTCAAAAATGAAGCCCTCCAAAGCGATGAAGAGGAACTGGGAAAACGTGACAATGTTGCCGCACCCTGGGTATTTTCTGCAGTTCAAAGAAACAAATGCATCGGCATTACATTCAATCATGGCTAAGAAAAGAATAATTCTTGTCAGTAAGCTTTTATTTATCCAACAACGCTTCACTGAGTCTCAATACTTTTTTTCAGGATGGTCTTACATTGGGAAATTTGGCCAATTCCAAAATTATGTGGGCGAGTAATTTTAATACTGTACAACCAATGTATATGTACAGGACTAGTTCAGATATCGCTCACTATCAAACTCAGAAATACCGAAATTAAGTGCAGTGTAGCTAACCACTGTGCCACCACTCCACCCACCTTTAGCAATCCACAATGACCAGCATGGTGAAGTTGGTCAAACAAACGACCCCCATTGCCACTGGAATAACACAACTACACAAAGTCTCTATCGGAAGCCCTCTCATTGCGGACCGCAACATTGGAATTTGGACGTATTGGCGATACACTGTGGCAGCATAACACACCGGTCTTCATAAAAGTCTGATGATGTCGCTGTTGCCCGTGAGCTGAAGAGTCTCCATCAGAAGTTGCCTTAAGGTTCAGCAGCTGCTTTCCCATTCGAAAGTGTCACATGAGTCATGACCTTTTGATGCCGCCGTCCGCCAATAAAGGATTCCGGAAATTAATTGAGGAACCCGTCTTACCAGGTCGAGGGCACGAGGAGTGAAAAAACACGTCATGAGGCTGGGTGCTGCTATAAGGCGAACAAACTGTGAAGCTTTGCGTTCAGCTGCTCATTACCATTCGTCTCACGACTGCTTCGCACATCAACACGAGAACTGATTTTGGCGCACGACCCCGCAAAATTTTCTGACCAGGGCTTGTGAAACGCGTGGAAATAAAACATTTATTGAGAAAATGTTTCTTGTTTTTTTTATGTACCGCCAATAACGTTCATTTACCTCCTGGACATATTTGCTGCCATGCATGACCTTTGTAAAACATGGGAGCTGTTGGGCAGCAGAGGTCACGCTGTAAACGAGAAACATTGTATCCGTCGTCGCTGGCCACGTATCCACGTCGGAACTTGCTGACCGACGCCAATCAACGCGCGTGTGAGATTGAAAGCGGCGGCGCCGCCAGGCATTAACACAAAGATGATCCCTCTTCTCGTTCACGTTTGCGTCGCTATCCAAAAACTCGAAGGTTCGTGGGGGTTACTCGCCAAAGCTGCGTAAAAGCCATCGGGTAAGGGGGGGGGGAATTATCGCTTGCCGGTTATTGCGCAAGAGACAAGTGCCATTGTCGAGGTGAACTTGAGAGGGTTGATAACGGGAGTGGGGGGGGGGGAGACGAGTTGATTAAATCAACCCGGGACGCGCATGGGAGATGCGGCACAGGAGTCGGATGCCTTCATCGCAGCTGAGCAGTTTCGTCCCGGCAGCGGAGGGAGAATGGTGACGATGTGATGTACTCGCGATTTCAGTCGATTCACTCATTGCAACGGCAGTAGATGCACGCGCGTGAAGGGCGCTTATGCGCGTGACTGCAATGGCAGTGAATAATGATGACGATCATGCGGCTGCTGATGATGATGCTGCTGCTGATACTGGTGATGCTGGCGATGATGATCATGCTGCTGATACTGATGATGATCATGCTGCTGATGATACTGGTGATCATGCTGCTGATGATGATCATGCTGCTGCTGATACTGATGATGATCATGCTGCTGATGATGCTGCTGATACTGGTGATGATCATGCTGCTGATACTGATGATGATCATGCTGCTGATAACGATCATGCTGATGATGATGCTGGTGATGATCGCACCGCTGCTGCTGCAAATGCTTCGGAATTCATCGTTTCCGATGATAATTCTGTTGCTGCTGCTTGACTGACGACGACACTACACTTGGCAGATTGACGTGACCTGGCAAAATGAATACGCGTTGCTACAAGAGCAGTGGATAGAGAATGACGATGACGCTGCTGAGTCAATAAAGAGACGCTCTGCTTACTACGAGAGCAGTGGATAGAGAATGACGATGACACTGCTGCTGCTGAGTCAATAAAGAGACGCTCTGCTTACTACGAGAGCAGTGGATAGAGACTGATGCCAATGAAACATGCATTTAGATTATGTTGCCACTGATTTTCCACGTGATAAGCCACTTTGTTGAGCTATCATTTGTGGCCAGTCGCTACCGAAAAATAAGTTAATAGCTCATTGGGCTTTACCTGGTAACAAAATCGCTTAGATTTTGTATATTTTTTTCTCAAGCGATTTGTCCACCTTGCCTATAGTTTCCACTCAAATCGTATTCTCTTATTGTTTGTCGTAACATTTTGATCCACCCCTGCTGAAACGTCTCTGAAAAAGAGCTTTGTAGCTCATCGGATTCCTCCAGTATAAACATTCCGATTGTGACACAGCTGCTGACGAGGACGACGACCCGGCGGCTGCTTCTGCTCATTCTAAACGACGCTGCAAATGACGGCGGTGGTGACGACGGCGAAGGAGGCGACACCGCGGCGGTCAACGCGTCGTGACATTCACCTGGCCAGCATTTCCAGCGAGTAGACGTTGCTGCAACATCCCATCAGCACCAGCAGCACGGCGATCGCGGGACCCATGGCTGCTGCTGCGGCGACGGCGCTGAATACGACGACGGGCCCGCCGCTACGGCTGGACCAACACGGACGCGACGCGACCTGGGTGTGGGTAGGGGGGGGGTGGTCGGTGTAAGCCACCGAGCCCGGGGTCAATCGGCGCAGGGCCGGCAGAGGCGATCACCACGTGCCGCCATTCCGCCTCCTTCCACCACACCGGCTCGCGACTTCCGGGTGCCTCCCGGTGCGCATGCGCCGCGGATCGACGTGGCGGGGCGGCACGCGGCGACGGCGTCGTGTGATTGGTCCGCGAGCCTGAATTAACATATATTAACATAAATTAACATTTTTTAAGCAAATGTTTCCATAATCTCGGCGACGTTCTGATCGTCTGTGTCCAACCTCTTAACACGAGTGCCGTTACCTTATTACAGTGTAGTTGAGACCTTATTGGTCAACCCCGTGCCCCTTATAAATCTCAACGTTCATCCCACAAAGTCCCATCTCGCAATGGAGAAACAGAAACAAATAGACGCCTTTTATGTTTTAGGGGTCGTCCATAAATGACGTCACGCACTTAGGGGTGGGGGTTTAGACATTTGTGACGATGTGTGACGAGGAGGGGGGGGGGGTGAGAAATGTGACGTCACATCAAAACGCGCAACTTTAAATAAATATAGACAACACGTTCTACTTAATAGACTTTTTAATAAATGTTTTCTCCTACAACATCAGAGTGCAGCGCCACATTAAATACGCACTACAATGACAATAGTTTAAAGCGATTTGAAGCATGTTTCATTTTCAAAATGGAAATATGGTTTTTGGGGGGGGGGGGGCAGAGCTTTGTGACGTCATATTTGAGGGGGGTCTGACTTTTTGTGACGTCGTGTGACGAGGGGGGGGGGTCAAAAATCGTCCAAAATCGCGTGACGTCATTTATGGACGGCCCCCAGACTCTCGATTATCCGCGCAAATGACGGGGAAGAGGGCCGCGGATAATAAGAAATTGCGGATTATCAAAATAAATAGACATTCTGCGCGAGCTCAGTGATAAACACTTTCCAGACGACTCGGCCCATTAAGTGGACAGCAGAGGCACGCCAATCAACATAGATCAAACTCTGCCCACTTGTGTAAATATATTGCAACTACTGTACTGTAGCGGCAATCACGTGGATTTCGGATTAACCGGAGCACATTTTGTTCGGTTTAAGCACGTGACTTGTAATAAACATTTTCCAAGAAAAACAATGTATTACTGTTTTAGATTATTCATTTGGGCTTAAGGGACAATCTATGAGTTATTAATTGATGTCACATATCAGGTGCTCATTTAATCCGCACATCGGATAAACCGCACGCGGATAATCGAGAGTCTACCGTATATTAAATTAATACAAAATTTAAGCGTGGTGTGATCCATGTGAGTGGCGTGCGTGGTGCGGTGATGCCCCTCAGCGGTGGCAGTGGACTGCTGCTTTTTTCAGTGGTTCACGGTTCGGTCCCAGCGATCGATTAATACCGCGGGAGTAATTTGATACCAAAAAAAAGGCACACCGTCTGTTTCGCAGTAGACGTGAGAGATCCCACGACATCATTCGAGTGGGTCATTGTGTCCCATAAATGTATTACATTGGTTTACATAGCAATTCATCGACCGCCGACTGCAAAAACAATAAAAGTCATTAAACTCAGCGAGGCTTTACTGGGTCAACACGCGCAATCATAAACTGCGTGCGTTAGGACCAAACTTAATATTATGACACACTCCCCCCCACCACCACCCCGTCTTGTACCCTGTTGTGTCTAGGAATTCACTAAGTCTGAATACATGGAGAAATCTGGATTATCCAGAGATCAGGGCCTAGGGTAGTAAACGTCCCTTGTGTTCACATTCAAGGCCACGACTCTTGTTTCCAGCTACGTGCACGCATTAACCTCCCACTATTGTTAGCCAACTATACTGTCCTGGCAATTCCATTTTATTTTAGTTCGGCCACATTTACTCATCACGTACCATAATAGCCAAATGCGGCTTTTTTTTATAAGTGCTGATAATTTATTCTCTACTTGTCATCATGCCCTTGGAATTGTTGTGTGTGTGCGTGATCAATGCAGACACTGGGATGAGTGATGATGGTGCAGTCGCGCTGTGAACCCAACCAAACCGAGTAAATTTCTCGGCCACTGCTGACATCAGTGGCGAGTGATACCCTAACCTTCACTCTTCCTCCCAATCCCTCGTATTCGTCCTTCATTACCTATCAATACGTACCAGCAGAGAGCGTATTAACACAGCGCTGTCGACATGAATAACACTGCACGTGCAGTGGTCCTGTAGCTACACATGTAGTAGCAGCTACTACACTACACGTGTAGTAGCTACTACTACACGTGTAGTAGTAGTAGCTACTACACGTGTAGTAGTAGCTACGGGCCCCGCACTTTCAAGGGCCCCGCGCTAAATGCTTTCAAGCTATCAATTCCGGTTCAATGATTCTGCACTTGCTCTATTACTATAGTACTATACCCCCTTCAACTTTTCGTGAACGACTGGGTGTTTAAGGTTAGCGATTTGATCTGGCCGTATAGCAAATGAAAAAATACAATTACTTTACTATGCAAGTACAAATTTGTGTTTTAATATTTATGTTTTTATTTTATTTAGGAGCACTTTATAACGCGCTGCGCTACGAACCTGGCGATCCGAGTTCGATTCCCGCTCACGGCGAAAATCTGACGATTATCTGAACCGGTCCTGGACCTCCCCTAGGTCGACTCGGCCTCAAACGAGTACCCGGTGCGGCGTATAAACATCGCCACTGGGGAGACAAAGGCGGCCGAGCGTGGTGCTGGTCACCGACCCCCTCGTGTGCCGTGCCGGCCTTCACAGGTGCTGCTCGCTAACAGAACTTCCCCCAACAGTCTGTTACAGTTTATTACACTCTTGATTTGAAGCTTTCGTGACTGCAGTAATCGATACTCTTTGGTTCTTTAGGTAAAGTCTGTTTCAGTCTATTACAGTTTGTGTTACAGGCTGTGTGTGGGTGGGAATCTGTGTCTTTGTGACACACACACACACGCGTTCCTGTTGTAAACCAAACTTTGCGTCGAACGTTTGATTTGTACTCCCACGCCACTTTGCAATACAACGCCCCCTCCTCTGTCTCGGCCCTTGACATGCCAGACGGCAAAGACGGCGCATTTAGAGGGGGGCGACCTCAAATAGGCAATTAGTCTGGCGGTGCCAGGCAGCCCTTCGCTGTGTGCACACAATAGGTGTGTTGTCCGCGCCTTTGTCTGCACACAGGTGTGTGTGTGTCAGTTGCTCGGCCGTGTCATTGCGGAGGTGCACGGCAGGCGATGTGTGGGGGGAGGTGGCGGGGTGCATGTGAAGCAGTGGCGGTCTCAACTTCACGACAATGCTCTGTCAACGTCGGATAAGCGAATGTGTGAAATAATAAAGTGTTTTTTTTGCGTGTGCTTCTTTTGAAATAAACCGGTATATAAGACGAAGATCCCACGTTTAGTCTAAACAGACCTTTGGGGCAAGTGCTGTTTTCGAGCAGCACCTATGAAGGCCGGCACGGCACACGAGGGGGTGGGTGGCCAATACCACACGCCCGACCGCCTTTGTCTCCCCCAGTGGCGACGTTTTTACACAACGCAGCAGGTACTCATTTGAGGCTGAGTCGACCTAGCGGAGGCCGAGGAACCGGTTCAGATAATCGTCACCGGTGTTGTCCCGTGAACGGGAATCGAACTCGGGTCGCCGGGTTCGTATCGCAGACAGCGCGCTAACCGCTACACCACCGCTCCCCTACGAACCCGCAATACAAAAACAAAAGATCCCCTGTATAGCCTTAACAGACCGTAGGGGCAAGTGCTGTTAGCGAGCACCTATGAAGGCCGGAACGGTACACGAGGGGGTGGGTGGCCAGCACCACGCCCGACCGCCTTTGTCTCCCCAGTGGCAATGTTTACACACCGCACCAGGTATTCATTTGAGGCTGAGTCTGTGTACGCAATACGTACACAGACACACAGATACGCAAACAAAATGAGACTCTCCCCACCCCCTGCTACATTTTATTCACAAACCTGAAATGCTCACGACACGTCACATTGCTTGCTATCATTCGATGCAATGAAAAAAGGCCAAACTTTTTCAAACACCGAGATCGGGTTATTTTCTATTCCGTATTGTATCGGGATATGCTATAGTTGGTTATTGTTTTGTAATCCAATTGATGGTATCAGGAGCCTTAAGTGTAAGGTACATACCTCCTGTCATTAAGTAGGCCTAACCGTGCAAAGCTGCTTAGACTTGATCAGAGGTACTTGGTTTTCTGTTGTATTAGTATTTTTAGTCCAGAGAGGCCACCCACGGGCCTGCTAGAGGAAGGCCCGTGGGTCTTCCTTCACTCTACTCTAAGAGAGAGAGACATCATCGTGGCCATGAAGCACTGGGCCGTGTGTGGGCGTCACGGTGACTAGGAGATGTTTACTACCTCGCCTGGTATACAGGAGGTCGTGGGGTCGATCCCGACCCTGACGATGCCTGTTGTATATTTGTAGTTTGCGTGTTTCTCCGTGGTCGCGTGGATTTATCTCCGGGTCCTCTGGGGTTTCCCTTCCACAGTTGGAAGCATGCGTTTCGAGTGTTTGGCCTGCTATAAATGTCCACGTGGTAAAAAAAAACAACTACTTTGTTGAGCCATCATTTGTGACTGCCAGGTCGCTTCTGAAAAGAGCTACATAGCTCAGTGGCCCTTACCTGCTGAAATAAAAAAAAATAGTTTAATAAAAAAAATAATGTGCTGTCCGCCCACGGTGCTCGCGTGGTAATCCCTAAAAAAAAATCCGGGCACGGCCCGGTGAATGAAGCTGTATTGAACAATGCAGGCATCCTTCGCCCCAGTCTTATTATTAGCACGTGTGTACACGTGTCTGCGTGTACGCGTGTGTGTGTGGGGAGCGGTGGTGTAGTGGTTAGCGCTACGCTGCGCTACGAACCTGGCGACCCCGGTTCGATTCCCGCTCACGGCCAACACCGGTGATGATTATTTGAACCGGTCCTGGCCTCCGCTAGGTCGACTCAGCCTCAAATGAGCACCTGGTGCGATGTGTAAACATCGCCACTGGGGAGACAAAGGCGGCCGGGCGTGGTGCTGGCCACCCACCCCCTCGTGTCCCTTGCTGGCCTTCATAGGTGCTCGCTAACAGCACTTGCCCCAACAGTATGCCCAAGCTA